CCAGCCGTTGTTTGCGGCTGCTGCTGCAGCTGCTTTGGCTTCTTCGTCCGCGCGGCGTCGTCGCTCCTCTTCTTCGTGGCGTTGGAACTCCTCCGTTGTCATGGTGCGGTGAGACCAGGGGTGGTCAACATGGTATCGTTCCCAGGTAAGAGGTAGCGCGTTGTTGTTTGCGTCGAACGCGCCAGGGCCGATGTAGCGTGTGAGGAGATCGAGGCGCTCGTGGACAGTGGGGTCGGCGCGGGTTCGGCGGTGCTGGAACACGGTAAGTGCCGCAGCGAGTTCTCCATCCCTCATGTCTGTTGGGAGAGGGGTCTGCCAGTCAGCTTCTTCGATGATGTCCAGGGCGCGAGGAGGAGGAGTAGTGGTGATGGTGGAAGTTGTTGCGGTGGGCTGTTGGGCTGTTGGCGGTGTGGTTGTGGCCGCGGCGGCAAGACGGCGTGTGGCTGGCGCGGAGGATTCCCCTTCGTCTGCGGCTTACTTTCCTTTGTCGGGCGAGGGTGTCCTCTGCGCGGGGGGTCGCGGTCGTTGCTGTGCTCTGTCTTCTGTAGAAGAGACGGTTGGTGTGCGGCAGTTGCGGCAGAGTCCATCAGGTCCAGGGGCATGAAGGTCGATTTCCCTGGAGTGGGCGTGATGCTTGATCCAGGGGCGGCCGTCAGGGTGAGTAGGCTTGTTGGACTTGACCACGTCTTGAGGGACGAGGTCGATCAGGTCACCTGAGTCGGCGCTGCAATCGGGGATGTCGAAATCGAGAATGTACACGCCGTCTTCGGAGTGGGCTCTGCCGATGTAGCGAGGTGCGGTGTCTGGTCTGCTGTAGTCCTGCCAGTGCATGATGATGTCTCGTGTTTCAGGATCTGTATGCATGAGGACCCCGCTTTGCACTAGCTGATCGTAAGAGAGGAGGTTGTACTGAAGGTTGCGGACGATGAGGACGTCGTTGAGGGTGAGGTGGATGTCGCTGTCGTGTGCCTTGAGGACGACTATGCCGCATGCGCGGGCCTGCAACTGCTGAGCGTTCGCGACGGTGATGATGGTGGGTTCGGGGATGGGGAAGGCGTTGGAGATGTAGCGATCGGAGCCCACCATGTGCTGTCCGCAGAAGCTGTCGAGGAACCAGGTGTTGTAGCAGTTTCCGCGGCGCTGAGCCGAGAGCGCGAGGTTGGGCGTGTTGCGAAATGGGATGCGGCGGTCGCCAGCAGCGACATAGTTGTCGAGGGGACGTGTGTCGATGTTGTGGCCGAAATAGTAGGTGGTGATTGACGGTGAGTTCAGGAAATCCTCGTCATGAGGTGGTGATTCCAGCAGCGGCACGGGCAGGTTCTAGTCCTGCTCGTGTTCGTCGGAGACGAATTCTCCGTCTTGGGTGAATGGGTTGTTGTAGGGGTTGAACTGGACTTCTTGACCGTGTGGGGGCGGAGAGACGTAGCGGAGATGTGGCCGGTTCGTGCGGCGAGTGCGGCGGCGGACGCGCATCGCCATGTTTCCCATGACGTGGCGAACGGTGCTGGTCTGGGGTGGCCGCTATTGGTCTGGGTGATTCTGGGGGCGCGGGGCGAACCGATGGTCCGTGGACGGTCGGTTGGCCTGGCGCGAGTGATCTGATGTTGGCGCAGAGTTGTTGCGCGGTGCGGAGGCGGGACGCGGTCCGGATCGGCATCTTTCGGTGGAGTGACCGAAGACCTTGCAGTTCTTGCAGAAGTATTGTCGCGGCCGATTATCGCGATTTCGGCGGTGGTCGCGGTCGGAGTAGAAGGCGATTCGCTCGCGTCGCGTCGTCTTTTCTTGGTTGAAGTCCATGTTGCGCTATTCATGGAGTAAGGTGGCGCAGAGGTGTGCTTCCGAGATGATGCCCTGTTGGCGGAGCAGGGCTTTGCAAGGGTTCCAGTGTGGCGCGAGTCCTCGGAGGACGATGGTGACGAACATGTCTTCGGAGATGTTGTTGCCCAGCTTCAGCAGTTGATCGCGGACACTGCGGTAGCGATTAATGTAAGTGTTGGCCTTCTCGCCAGGTGCCATTTTGACTGCCATCACTTCTTGGAGGAGGCGGCTGGATGAAACAGAGTCCTTGGGTTGGTAAGTTTTGTTGAGGTAGTTCCAGGCGGCGAGGGCGGGAGCTGGGAAGTTCTTGTAGGGGCGAATGCCGAGTTGTTCGGTAGGCGCCATGTTTCGCAGGAGAACGCTATACGCCATTAGCGACTCGTTGTAGTATTGCGCTTTTGCGTCGTCGGTATCACTGGTGGGGCCAGGATAGCTTCCGTCAAAATAGCAGAAGATTTGCGCGTTTTGCAGTAGCAGCTCGAGCTCGAAACTCCAGGTATAGAAATCACGTCCGCTGAATACGGTACTGGTGCGGATCTTGGAGATGGTTAGGAACTTGTTCTGGGCTGCGAGCACGGCTTCGTCACTTGGACGAGGAGTATTTGGAGCAGTGTTGTTGGAGCCGATATCGAAGTTGGTTGGGCTCGGTTCCTTGGCAGGAGCGTTCGGATGCTCGGGTTGTGGCGCGGTTGGCTGGTTATCATTCTTCAATTGTTGAACTCCAGATTCCAGCGTGGCGATTCGCTGGATGAGTTGCTCCAGAAGCGCATTGCTGACGGTGGTAGTTCCCGCGGAGCTCGCGGTTGGGTTGTTAGGAGGTTCGGCCGTGTTGGCCGCTTGTCCTCCAGATCCTCCAGCCATGTTTCGGCGGGAGCGCGTACCGGACGCCACCTTGAATTTGAATTTGAATCAAAGGTGGTGGTGCGAAGAATCCTGAGTGGCTCTCATACCATGATACAATCTGAACCGTCTTATAGGATCGTCTCAGGTTGATCGCACGGAGTGTAGCAGCGGAAGGTTTGGGTAATGTCGGGTACGGACTCTGTCAGTAGAAGGAGAATTGGATCTCGACAGAAGTTATTAACACAATGCGGTACAAGGATTTATATAGGAATACAGTGGAATACGAAAGGTCCTAGCTAGCCATGTACTCTGAGGGGGTACATTCCCCTTAGGGCTAATCTAGATGCAGGATTGCAACTGTGCGGCTCGGTAACCGAACGCGGTTCGGTAACCGTTTGAACTTTTCCCGCTCTTTTCATTTCGAATTCTTCCTGCTTGCAACCGTCTTCGATAACTGTCTTGACGCTTGGTCTTTCGTCCTCGCTGCAGTCATCTTCGCGTTTCAAGAGTTCGTTACTTTAGGAATGTTCAATCATTCCATATCGTAACACCATGGAACAAGATAGCGAGGACCGCACTAGGTGTCAAACGAGTACAAAGTATGAGCGAATGCATAAGTTAATATTTATATGCCAAACATGCAAACAATAACGTGGTGTGTGCAAGCTAGCGAGTACTAGGCTGGTATCGAGGTTCGGGCTAGTCCCAAAGCTTAGGCTGACATGGCCGAGCCATCGGTGCATGGTTTGGTGAAACAGTGCACGCGAAGTTAGCGAATCCCCGTTAGTAGTAACGGACGAATAACGGCTGCTGCTGTACGCGATGTTGAAGGGCGCGTTAAGGAATGCCAAAAAGTCCTTAACAATTCGCTGCAAATTACAGCCATTAGAGTTGGATATTTAACCAAGTTTTAGCAGTTAAATTAAAATGCAGCAAAAATCATTATGAACAGCCATGTCTAGTGGGTTAGAACAATCAGGAAGTGCTAGGCATTAAAACATGAATTTCTGTCAGCATATGCACATTCAATGGAAAGTTGTGCTTCTGTATAAAATTACAAGGCATGCTATTGCTGTTGTGTGTGGTGAACGTGGACAGCCGTCACAATGACGTGGAGTATCGGGTGAAGATGACGACTGCCATTTGCAAATCCAATGATATGGCGCCAAGTCCGGATTGTCAGTTTGTGTTTCGTCACCAGGCAGACTTGCGTGGCATGACGTGGAAGAGGCTGTTGACAGCGGATTCTTGGGCGTTGCTCTGGAAAACTCGAAATTCGCGGTTAGATGTCACCAAAACAGGCACTTCAAAGTCGATTGGCTTGGCGGCGAAACCAAGCCAATCGAGCTAACAACAGTGAGAGATGGTGTTAGGGTTGTCGAGTCGAGAACAGTGTGCACCAGATATGCATCTATGTGTACGCAATCACCCTGCCTTTTTTAATGAGGGCAACGCCTCGCCCATGGGGCCATAACATATTTTTTTTTTCCGCAAAACAAATCAATAAAAATGGCAAGATACTGTCAACATGACAGATCTACAACTGGAATTATTCGAGTATAGCCAAAGCCTAATAGTATTGCAGACGTTTTTTTTTGTTTGGACTAATAGCGGCGCTGAATGTTTTGTTTTTCCATTTTTGGGTAGTGACAAGTCATATTCAACCAAGTATTTGGAAATGTTTGGGCAAAATATGATTATACGAGTATAAATTAGACATTGATTGGATGTAGTTTGATTTGTTGTGATTATAAATGTCATAACCGTGTTTTTATCAACTTCTATAAGAGCTGCCGTGTTTTGGGGGTTATTTCGATGATACTTATCACGGTATAGTCTTACTTTTGCGAAAAGGTGTTTGACTTTCTGTCGCGTAAATCGTGCACAATTGTGAAAGTGCGGGCAATATTTGTGAGATCTGGTCTGGTACTGTAGATGAAAATGTTTCTTGGAGCCAATTTCGACTCTCTGCCATGCATGCCAAGGGCTATGCCATCATGAACCCCCTGCCAGCAGTTGAGCAACCAGCTCAACTGCCCCACCATCGCGCGCCTCCCTCGAGCGTGTCTTCTGACAGATTTTTCTTGCTGGTTGACGAAGACGATAGAATCGATGCTCTTTGTTTCGCCTCGAGCTGTCCTCCGTGTGCTTGGTGTTGGTTGTGGATTACTGTCCTGCCAAACCAGTTAGATTTAGGCAGAAGCTCTGGACTTCATTGTGTCTACGTTGTCTCTCCTTTCTTTGTGAATCTAGACCCTATCCGTTCCTTGATTTGCGCCGTAACGTACAGCTGGAAAGGTTTTGCGCGAAGTAGGCTAGTTCCTCTGCTTTGTATTCCGATGGAGGTTGCCGTTGGATATCGCACCAGTCTGGGCTTGAGCGAGTGTATGCCGTCTTCTCAGCTATCACCCACAAGGCACAAGCAATCATCGCTGTCTTCGTCTCATTGTTGCGCCGACTCATTTCGAATTCCCAGCTTAAGCTCTCCTGGGGTAAGCGATAGTGCTTAAATCAGTCTGCCAAGTGCCCCTTCATATTTCTGCTCTGGCGAGTGAGGGTCACATCACTGACTGAATGTTTTGAATTATTTGTTCGCAGTCCTCTCCTAGAAAAGCTGCGATTTCGCCGAGGGCCACGGCGGATAACCACTCGGCCTTGTCAGCAACGGCAGTGACAAAAAGGGAACAAAGTGCTACCAAGATCGACGAGGCATGGCACGAGAGCACCAGCATTTACCTTCAAAACTCGACTATGTGGCAACAGAATCTTGAGCTCGACTTTGAGACAAGGTGAGAGCCAGGGATGGATTCATCTTTGGTTGCGATGTCTTCTGTCAGTTTGTTGGCCTTTGTCGGTTGAACCTCTCCAGCTGTTGACCGCCTGTTATCAAAATCATGAGACTTTTGGTCTTTTGCTATCTCAGGCATGAGGAGGATCGCCTGTGGGAAGACATGCTTGTTAGAGACTTCATGTGCTACGACGTGGCTTGCCTCCATCGAGATGTTCCGCTAAGGACAGCTGCCAAGGCAAGCCACGTGTCTACGCCCTTTTTGTTATTGAGATTTTTGTGCAGCAGAATTCCACATTCTTACCGCGGCCTTCCTACCGTTCTCCTTTTGTAGATTCTGGCCAAATTGCGAGTAAGCGGAGTTCCTGTGGTGGAGGCATACGACGGGGACTCTTATGGAGCGGGGCAGCTGGTTGGAGTCCTCTCGCAACGGGATATTTTATGGAAAGAAACTGTACCTTATCCAGGGGTGAGTGTAAATTGCTGTTGTATTGTAACAGTAGTTCTTTTTTTCCTGTCTTCGCGAGTGCTGACGCTAAGCGCTGGTTTTCATTGTGTTTCAGGAGGACGACCACATGCATCGAATTTATGAAGGTCCAATGTCTCCTGTCTTGTGTGCCCAAATGAGGAAGATAGCAGCTAAAACTGTGAGTCCATGGTTGTTCCCCTTATGCCTTTCTACTTACCACTTCTTTGTTCCTGTCATGTGCTCACAAGTGGCCATGTATTGCACGTGGTGCAGGTTGGAGATGCCATGACATCAGACACCCTTTACATTGAAGAGGACGCCTTGATATCAGATGCTGCTGAATTGATGCTTAATCACAATGTAGGTTGCTGGTTTTACACGGGGTCCAAGGCACGTGTTTTTCTCGACGCCGTCTGACGCATTTTTATTGCAATTTTGCAGATTGCCCGTCTTCCTGTCGTCGCGCCTCGTGAAGACAATAAGCCTGGCATGACTGTTGTTGGGATTATTACCTGCCATGACATTCTTCGTCATGCCATGCGGCTGATGTGATTCGCCAATAAGGTTGTGTACATAGCCGTCAACAGGTGGTGTAAATAAACGCCTAAAGAGCGGGGAGTACGGTCTCCAATAAAAATCAGCGGCGTTGTTTCTTCAGCGATCGACATTCAATAGGTCCTCTGATCTGTTGTGGTGCTTATACAGTACGCTTTGTATTGTGCATGGCTCTGGTATGTTTTGTACCAATAACGTGGTTATGCTCTCGTAATTCCACCCAATTGTGTACTGGTTGCTTTGATCCCGAATCTACCACATTGTTTCGTCTGATTGTAGCGAACCACACCATGCTGTAACAAGCATGCAAACATCATCGGAGGTTACATTACAATGCAGTAACCTTAAAAGGGAACTAAAATTTGTAGAGATGCTAGCAAAACAGCTTATTATGTGTCATTTGTAACACATAGTAGTATCATTTTGCTATTTACATTCACATTAGCAAGGCAAAGAGTTCTGCTGTCTTACTTGGCATCTTATACTGTTCAATGAAAGATACTTCAGTTATGTCGACAACATTTATGTCTTGACCCTCCAACATTTCGGTATTCTCACTTATCTCCTTCCATTTCACAGTAACAACATTCCAGAATTCTGCATTCAGTTAAGTGTACAGTTTTACTTCCCTTAAAAACATGTCAAGAAAACGAACTCGTGGTAATATGCTGTATGTTGATGCTCTTCAAATCACGAACCAGCAAATTCAACCACACTGCCCTGCTGGCATCTTGCGCAAGGACTCAAGTCAGGACAAATTCTGGCTGTTGGTCAGGCGGGTGTTGTGATTCACAACACAAGCGAGGACAATTCAGCGAATGCGCGTCTATTGATCCTTCAACGCAACGTTTTCTTCCTTCCCACACTAGAAAGCTGGGAGTCTTGGGAAGCGAGGATTCAGCGTTTCACACAATCACTTGAACTGTGCTGTCTGCCAGGTGTACGTGACTCACGGAACTGTAGCTGGAGCCGCAGGTTGCTCACGGTTATCATCAAGTTTGGGCAGAATCACAAAACTTTGTTCGATAAGCGATTCACCCTCTTCATCGATTGCTTCGCCTGCCAAAGGATAAGTCAACCACTCTATTTGTACCATTCAAGTGTAAATCTTCTATTTTGCCCTGAGCGTCCTGAAAGCCAGAAGTTTGACTGGATGGCTTTTCAAGTGCATGCTGTTCCCCGTTGCAGGGGCGTTATTGCCCTGAGATCCGACCTGCCTTCCCACATTGCCCAGCTACGCTCATTTGCTCTCATGCTCCGCCGCCTAGGTAAACATCAACCTAGGTAAGCGACTTCCGCAAGTCAGCCATCAGGTGCTCCCCTTGCTTTTCCCGAAGCCCCAACCAGGTGCCCATTTCGTTTCTTTTGCGCCCCACTTCCTTAGTTACAAACGGAGATACTCTTTCATATCCCACTTAAGCCCTAACCTCTAAAACCTCTATTTAACGTTTGGAGAACGTGAAGCAACCCTACCATATATAAGCATTTCTCTTAGCGTATCGAAGTAACGATTGCTCCCGTCCCCCTTCGCCCCTCTCCCCTTCCCGTTTATCTCGTCCTCCTGACGCCTGACCTGACTGCAAACATGACCAGGCCAGAGACTTCCCCCAGCCAGAATCTTTCCCCCAGACCACCTTTTGCCCGACTACAGTACCACAGCAACAGCACTTGCGCCCCTCACATCAAAACCAACCAACCAAAACCACAACCATGCATCAGCGCAGTCCATTCTGGCTGGGAGCTACAGAGCTACAGTGCAGCGACAGCGATTTTTTTTTTCTTCAGCACCGCCCACTGCATGTTCCATTCCAATTTCCGTTTCGTCAGTTCGTCCCTCCTTGTCCTGGTCCTCACCTCTCCCTCCATCCCCCATTCCCCCCCTCCAAATGCCAACTCACAGCCTCTTTCTTGCATGAGAAGAGAGGTTGGCGAATGCAAACCGTGAACTCACGAAAGGTCATCCACACATCCCTTCCTATCTGTGCTGCTGCGGCGTTCGTTCTTCACTGGGGAGGATTCCCCCCACCGCACCCTCACCCCGCAACTCCCTCACCCTACACCTTCCACACCCCACCTTCCGCATTCACGTCCTTCCTATTCATACAACTCTTTCCGACTCCCCCAGCGTGCGCGTAGTATCTTCTGAGCCTCTCTATCACTAATATCATCGTCGGCTGCTCGTATCCAATCCGCCTCGTGACTGTCCCGCCGCTTTCACGTGCTCCTTCTCCGCGCGAGCGAGCGAGCGAGCGAACGAGCAATGGCGCGCCTGCGGCGGCAGCAGCTTCTGCTGCTGCCACTGGTACTATGCGTCGCCGTGCTTCTCGCCGGCATCCACGTGCCAGTGGCCGATGCCGGCGCTCTTAACCCTGGTTCGTAGCCGTCCTCTGCTCTCACCTCGCGTCGCGCCCTTCCTCCGCCAGTCGTGTCTCCCTTCTCGCGCCTCCCTTCTCTCTTCTCTCCGTCTCCCTTCCCCGCTGCGATAGAAGTTCTTCTTGGACCAGCCTCGAACCTCCTCTTCCTTTAGGGCTCTCATTTTCTTTCCCACGGCAGCGGCCCACCAATCTTTCCCCTCCCGCGTCCCTCCACTCCCGGTCTTCCGCTCCGCTTCCACCCCGTTCTCATCGGGCATCCCCGGTCGTCTCAAGATGCCCTCCTTGCTTCTTTTCCTCCTTTCTTGTGTCTAATATTTTAAGTCCGATCTTAGCCTCGTCTCCTCCCGCGCCGCGGCTCGGCTCGCCTCGCCTCGCGAATTCCCCAATGGGTACAGCGTGTGCGCTAGGTAGTCGACGTCTGGTCTGCCTGCGCCCGCTTGTTGCCTTCCAGGCCAGTGCTGATCTTTTCCGGCTGCGGGCCGCGGAATTCCGCCCTGTCTAAGGAGTCTTAGGCGCCGTAATTTGCTCGCATGCCGTGAGCCGCCGCGCTTTCGTCTCCCGCTGCGCCTCTCGCGTCGGGAGGTCGCCTTTCCCGTATTTCTCGGAGTGTTTTCCGTGCGTCGCGACGGAATGGGTTTGCGACCGAGCAGCGGTCCTCGCGCTCTTGTCAACTCTTGCGACGCGCGCCGACCTCGCGTTACAGCCGACTCGAGTTTCGTCTGTTTCTCTTCTTGCTCGCCCCTTCCTCCTCCTCCGTCTGCTCCCCCTCCACTTCATCTTCGCCCTCCCAGACCTTTTTCCTCTTCTAACACCCCCCTCGACGGCTCCCCTCCTCGAACCCCTCCCCCCCTCCCTTCTCCCACCCCACCCCCTTTCCCCCTGCCGTCCCCGCCATCCGTTCCCCCCCTCCTTTTCCCCGCCAGGCGGAGTCATCAAGGTTCCGACGCGCGGCCCGTGCTCCGCGACGCCCGTGCCGCTGACCGTCTCGACCGCCGCGGATTTCGCGCAGCGGCTGCAGTACTCGCCGAACACGACGGTGGTCCTGTACCTAACCGGCAACATCACCGTGTCGACGTGGGTGCACTTCAACGCGTCGTATTCCTGCACCATTATCCGCCCGCAACCCGGGCTTACTTCCATGCCGTGGATCTGGCTCGATAACGTCAACTCGCCCGCGGTGAAGGTGGAGAGCGCTACGAACATGCAGTTTGTCGGGATCGGGATTGGATTCCCGTGGACGAATACCGGCATGGTGGCGTGCGGCGGCTTGCCCGAGTTCCCGTCCAAGTGGACGTGCCCCGTGCTGCACATCTACCGCGGATGGGCCGTTACTTTCTCCAATGTGAGCCGCGCGGGGAAGGGGCGGGGGATGGGGAGGGGGAGGGGGAAGAAGGGGATGGGGAGAGTGGGGGAGGGGGAAGGGGGAAGGGGTGGGGGGGATAACGGGGAGGGGGAAATTGGTGGAAGGAAGTATGGTAGTACGGTGGTGCGCGCGCGATCCTTCGTCTGTGCGCGGGTTCTTTCTATTTCCTTGCGCTTCCTTGTTTGTTTCCTTCGCGCCGCGGATGCTGCTGCCGCATGTTTAGCGAGGTTCCGCGCGCACATTTGCTTTCGCCAGCACCCTTGCACGCATGGAGGCCGCTTTTCAACCATCCGCCAACTATGCCTTGCTCCCCGTCCGTCCCCCGTCGCTCCCCTGTCCCTTCCTCGTCCCTTCCCCCTCCATTCCCTATCGCCTCCCCGTCGCTCTCAAGTCACTTTTCCGTCGCTCCTCCGCCTCTCCCGCTTTCTCCTCATCCCCGGCCCTTTCTCACCCCTTCCGCTTCCGCCGCTTCTCCTCCCCTTCCCCCTTCCCCTTTCCCCCCTTTCCCCCGTTTCTTCCCCCGCCCACCTCCCCGCCTCTTCCCGCACATTCCGCACATCCACAGGGGCAAGTGCAGGGGCGCACGGACGTGTACCGATCGGGCGCGGTGGAGTTTTCGTACCAGAAGCACGTGGTGGATTATCTCGACGGCGCGCTCTTCAGCTACTCCGTCATCCGCTTCGCCGTCAACGGCGACCCCGTCAACCTCATCCGCTCGCTCAACAAAGTCGTCAACAGCGAAGTCCGCGGTGCGCCTCCCCGCCTTCCCTCCCTCCCTGGCTCGTTGCCTGCTTGCCTGCGTCGTTTTTTCTGTTCGTCGGTCTTTTCTTTACGCACCACCTTCGCCATTTTCTCCGTTCCTCCCTTCTTCCCCCCCTCTTTTCTTATGCATTCGCTCCCTTTCTTCCTCCCCCACCTCTTTCCCTTCTCCTCCCTGTCGTCCCGGGCGCGTGAATGTCCGTCACGACATGCCCTCATCGCCTCCCCTCCCACGGTTCCCCATGCTTCCCGATCCCGTTCCTTGGTTCCCCCGTGCAGGCGCGTGGACTGCTCGAGCTCAAGCTCTCTCTCCCTTGCCTTATCTCGCTGCTACCGCACCCCCCCCCGCGCAGGAGCGTGGACGTCGATCATGATGTACGCGGGTACCGTGGGCACCATCATCGCCCTCATTGCCTCCTCTCCCATGCTTCCCCGGTCCGCCCCCCGCAACCCCCCGGCTGCCCCCCCACCGCTGCTTCCCCCCGCGCAGGCGCGTGGACGTCGATCATGATGTACGCGGGGACCGTGGGCACCATCATCGCGAACAACTACATCACGGACTGCTCCAGCTCAACCTCTCTCTCTCCCTTGCCTTCTCTCGCTGCTCCCCCTGCTTCCCCCCCCCCCCCCCCCCCCCTTTCTCCCCCGCGCAGGCGCGTGGACGTCGATCATGATGTACGCGGGCACGGTCGGCACCATCATCGCGAACAACTACATCACGGACTTTCAGTTCTGCGGCGTGCAGTGCGGCATGGGCGACAGCAACGTCGCGGATTGCATGCTCAACACCATCCAGGATAACTACATCACGCCGGGCCCCGCTTACCCCACCAACAACGGCGACGGCGCCGGGATCTACTACGATCTGCATTGGTACAACCCCGGTGAGGCCGCGCACCGCGTGGATGCGGACGAGTGTTGAGTGCGTTGCTGCGTGGCTGCGGGAGTGGGTGATTGCGTGGGAGCGACGTCGCGGAAGGCGCCGCCATGCTCAGCGCCGTGCTCGCGGACAACCACGACCTTGCGCTTTCCCTCTGTCCCCTTTTTCTTTCTCCCCCCTCACCCCTCCCCGTCCCCCCACACATCCCCCTTCTTTCTTGCCCCCCCTTGTTCGTTTACCCATTCACCTCCCCGCGCTCCAAGCTTGACCTGACCGCGTCTATCCCCCACCTCCGTCCGGTTCTCCCTTTTCCCCTCTTCCCCGTCCCATTCTCCTTCTCCCCCTCTTTCCCGTCCCCGCGGCGCAGGCAATCTGGACACGTGCAACTACATCGTGGGCACGACGCACTGCCACTACCTCGACTTCACGACCACGGGCCTCACCATTGACGGCGCTGTGTGCATCCGCAACCATGATGGCATCAAGATCAACACCGGCCACGCGTGAGTAGCAGCAGCCTATTTTAGAAGCACCTCATGACTTGTCTCACCATTGACGGCGCTGTGTGCATCCGCAACCATGATGGCATCAAGATCAACACCGGCCATGCGTGAGTGCTGCCTTCCTGCCATACTTCTTTCTTCCCCCTCTCTCCCCCCCCCCTCTCCCCGCGCCTCTCGTCCCCCTCTCTCGCGTTTCCCTTTTGCGCGTCGCTCTGCATCGTCGTGACCCATAGGCTTCCGCCCTCCTCGTTCCTCCCCTTATCCTGCACTCGCCTCACCCAATTCACCAACAACCATCCCACCCAATGTGCTGCTTTCCCCCTTCTCCCTGCTTCCCCTCTTGCCCCACCCCCTTTGTGCCTCTCCTCGCTGCCCGCGTTCTCCCTGCGAGCAGCAACAAGGTGGGGAGCTACCTGATCGTGAATCCGCAGTGGCAGGCGGGCATCATGAGCTGTCAGAACTGGTGCGACAACAACTGCAACTCCTGGGCGGGCCGCGGCCTCGGCTACAAGTGGTACAGCGCCTACGTCGCCCGCTTTGACACTCCCGGCTGGCGCAAGGTGTGTGTGTGGGGGTGGGAGGGTGGGTGTGTGCGTGCGTGGGACTGGATTGGGTACTGACATGGGTGTGGTTATGGAAGCATTTCGGGGAGTGTGTCGGGTGGGGGTGAGGAATGCGAGACGGGGCTAGTGAGCGAGCGTTGCTGGATTTGGTTCCTTATCTCTGCTACACTTGACTTTCTTTTGTTTAAAGCGTGTTTCTTTTCCTCCACCCATTTTTTTTCCCACTCCCACCACCCCACACATGATTCTTCTCGCTTACCTCCTCCTCCCCGTCCATCGCCCCCCCCCATACCAAATTCTTCGTCGCTCTCTCTCAACTCCCCGTTTTCTTCCCACTTCCCCCTCTCCACCCGTCTCCTCTCGTTTTCCCCGATCCCTTCCTCCTCTCCTCCCTTGGTCAGAACTGGCCCTACCTCTCCGGCCTGTGCAACCGCACTGACTGGATGGGACAGCCGTGCAACCCCGACCCTCCGATCGAGCTTCCCAAGAACTGGACGGGCTACTGCTCGCAGTACCTCACCTACTCGTCCACGGGCAAGCAGCGCTCCGCGGATTTCAACTACACGGGCAAGTGCAGCGGTGTTCCTGGGCTGAACAACATCGAGCTGACGGTTATCAATGGTACCAACGGCCGCTGGAATCCGTATTATATCAACTGCGACGCTCTCCCGTCTGTTGTGCCCTCCAACAACATCACTTCCGTGTCGTTTAACTACCCGCCGACCTACTTCAAGTTCGATAATTTCACCGGGGATGATTTCGGCGTGTCAGATTTATCGGATCTGATGTATCAGAAGTATCCCAATTTCATGTCGTGTAGCCGTCGCAGGGTCGGGCCTCAGAAACAGGTTCGCGCGATGGCTGCTGCTCTCTCCACGGCAGAATCCAACTTCGGCAAGGATGTCGGCGATTGGTGGAAGAACACGTTTGATATTATCCCGGAGGATCCGGAGATTTCCCAGATTCTCTACCCCAAGAAGTTCAACGGGAAGAAGCGCGATCTCAACGCGCCCGTCCCCGCCGCTACGCCCAGCGGAAGCGGAACTCCCAAGAAGAAGCCCGGGAAGAAGCCAGGCTGGAAGGTACCGAAGGTGTCTAACTGGTGGAGCGGAAACTAGGGAATCTCGACAGCAGCGGTTGTGGGCGGGGAGGAATGATTACACACTGCTGACTCGAAAGGGTGGGGCAATGGCGCAGTGTACAGCTCAGCTGTGGGGAGGTTTTGCTTGGGTGGCGGTGGGGAGGATTGTTTGAAAGGATTGCTTGGGATTTGGGAGGGTGTGGTGTAAGCAATGTGGTAAGATGCGGTGGTGCATAAATGGTCGTTCCTTGTGTGTGTGGCTTGTTGCATTTGTTCCTTCATTCTTGCTTGCCCACCCTCCTTGTTGGTGAACTGAGTTTGCAGGTTGTATAATAATAGTTAATTTGCTTGACTATGGGGAATGGATGGCTAGCATGGCACTATTTGCCTTCTCGTTGGTGGATGCTGTGTTGGGGTGTTGAAAATTCGCCTATTACCACTTCAAAACCTTGTCAATTTGGAAATCAAGGTACCAGTACCGCAAGAGCGAAGAAATTAGTTTGCTAAATCTGAATGTACACATAATCCAACTCATTCGTCATACTTCATCCACTGCTACACTCTGCTTCACCTGCCATGCCAAACCACACTGCATACAAAAAACGGTAGCAAGAGGCTAGCTAATCCAGCAGTTATTGCCTCCAACGATTCGACGGGCACGGATATGCCTGAACATACCCTCACATGCTTGTTCACATGCTCTCACATCACATTCTCATTCACCGTGCTCACCGTGGTATGTGCATCACTCACCAGCCCCCTCTCTGCTGCCACTACCCCCCTCTGCATCACCAGCCGCCCCACTCGCCCCACTCACTCCTGTCGTCTTTCTCTCCAAGGCATCTCCAGTAGTTGCCTCTTGCCCTTCCCCTTCCCCTGCTGCTTCCCCTGCTACTGGTGCTCCTTCCCCTTGCTCTGCTTCTCCGATGCCTGAGCTAGCAGCATCGGAAGCACTAGAACCAGAAGCGATGGCCCCTGTAGCAGGGACAGCATCGGCTGGGGTTGAAACAGCACCCGGTGCAGGCGCAGCAGCAGCAGCTGAGCTCCTAGTGTCAGTGCCGACGCTGGTGGTGCCGGGTGCGGTTTCAACAGTAGCAGGAGCGGCAGCAACAGGAGGGGTACCGGCACCCGTGGTGGTGGGACGGGCAGGGTTGGAGGGGAAGGAGAGCGGGAGGGATATCCCTGCTCCGTGCACCACTCGACTAAGCGCATAATGCCTGAATGAAGAAGCAGGCAGAGGTGGGGGCAGGGGGTGCGGTGGAGGGAGGTGTGGAAAGGTGTGCAGGCAGGTCGAGGGAAGAAGGTGGCACGTGGTGAGGTGAGGTGCTTAACAAGGTCGCAGCAAAAGGTGATGTGGCAGTTCTAGAGACGATGAAACTTGCACACTGATGTGGAGAGATGTGAACGGGGGGAAATGGGGAAAAGGTGGGAGGAATGATGGTAAGTAGGCAAGGAGGGATGGAGGGCAGGGAGGAGGGAGGTGAGGAGGGAGGAGGGGAGGGAGGTGCGGAGCGAGGTGGGGAGAGAGGGAGGAGGGACAGAAGGAGGGTTGGGAGCGGGGCCAGGAGGAGCGATGGAAGGAGCGACAGGAGGAGCATACCTGAGCGCTAGGTCCTTGTACTCTGCAAGGAGGTCGGAGACATCAGCAATGGAGAGGTCAGCAGCAGAGGGACGGGAGGAGGACAGGAGGACAGGAGGAGGACGGGAGGAGGACAGGAGGAGGACAGGAGGAGGACAGGAGGAAGGATAGAAGGAGCAACACGAGGGCCATACCTGAGAGCGAGGTCCTTGTACTCTGCGAGGAGGTCGGAGACATCAGCGATGGAGAGGTCAGCAGCAGAAGCGTAGAGGAAACGGAAGGAGCGGGCGAGCTCGCCACTGGCGTCTGCCCGCACCAGCTCCCTCAACACGCCCTTGTCCCTTGAGATCTCCGATACCGCTACCACCCGCTCTGCCTCCCTCTCCCTCTGCGGATTGCTGCTGCTGCTGCTACCAGCAGCACCACTGGAGGGACTAGGAGCAGCGTCAGAGCCGGCGGCAGTGGTAGTGGTAGAAGCAGTGCTGTCACCTGCTGCTACTGCTGTCTCTGCTCCTCCTGCTACTCTTCCCTCCTTCCCCGCCCCTCCAATCTCCTCTCCTGAACCCCCTCCTCCCTCGCCCCGCCCCCCTCCCTCTCCTCCACTACCCTTCCCTCCCTCTCCCCCTTCCCCCCCTTCCCCCCCAGCTTCCCCCCCACCAGTCGCCTTATACCCCGCCTCTAACAACCTCTGAAACTCCTGGTCACTGAGAGAGAGCTGAGCAGCAGAGAGGGATTCGAGGAAGGTGGCAGCAGAGGCGAGGTTGGTGAAGAAGTAAGCGGCTTCTGACACCAGGCGGTCGCTGTGGCGGTACCGCTGAATGTAGAGAATGCTGCTCAGCAGCTGCGGGGGGTTCGCCTGGGGAGGGGATGGGGGAGGGAGTTGCGGGAAAGGGGACGGGGAGGGGGGTGTTGGAAGAAGAGAGGAGAAGAGCGCAAGAAGACAGGGGCGAGGGAGGGGGGGGATGGGAGAGAGGCAGGAGGGAAGGGAAAAGAGCGAGAGGCAGGAGGGAAGGGAAGCGATGGGAGGTAGGAACAAAGAGAAGATGTGGGAGTGAAAAGGAAGGGCGAGGGGGAGGCAAGGATATATGTGATGTGAGGGACCTTGCTTCTCCCAAGGGTGAAGCCTGGGTTGGGTAGAAGCAAGGTCCCTCATATCACATCACATCACGCGAGGGTGCCCTATCTGTTGTGAAGCAGAACTGAAATGCCGGAGAATGAACTGTACACTATCTCTATAGAGAGGGAGTGTGGGTGAGAGGGCTTTTGAGTCGACTCAAAAGCAAATGCCGGAGAATGAACTGTACACTGTCTCTAGAGAGAGGGAGTGTGGGTGAGAGGGCTTTTGAGTCGAATCAAAAGCAAATGCCGGAGAATGAACTGTACACTGTCTCTAGAGAGAGGGAGTGTGGGTGAGAGGGCTTTTGAGTCGAATCAAAAGCAAATGCCGGAGAATGAACTGTACACTGTCTCTAGAGAGAGGGAGTGTGGGTGAGAGGGCTTTTGAGTCGAATCAAAAGCAAATGCCGGAGAATGAACTGTACACTGTCTCTAGAGAGAGGGAGTGTGGGTGAGAGGGCTTTTGAGTCGAATCAAAAGCAAATGCCGGAGAATGAACTGTACACTGTCTCTAGAGAGAGGGAGTGTGGGTGAGAGGGCTTTTGAGTCGAATCAAAAGCAAATGCCGGAGAATGAACTGTACACTGTCTCTAGAGAGAGGGAGTGTGGGTGAGAGGGCTTTTGAGTCGACTCAAAAGCAAATGCCGGAGAATGAACTGTACACTGTCTCTAGAGAGAGGGAGTGTGGGTGAGAGGGCTTTTGAGTCGAATCAAAAGCAAATGCCGGAGAATGAACTGTACACTGTCTCTAGAGAGAGGGAGTGTGGGTGAGAGGGCTTTTGAGTCGACTCAAAAGCAAATGCCGGAGAATGAACTGTACACTGTCTCTAGAGAGAGGGAGTGTGGGTGAGAGGGCTTTTGAGTCGACTCAAAAGCAAATGCCGGAGAATGAACTGTACACTGTCTCTAGAGAGAGGGAGTGCGGGTGAGAGGGCTTTTGAGTCGAATCAAAAGCAAATGCCGGAGAATGAACTGTACACTGTCTCTAGAGAGAGGGAGTGTGGGTGAGAGGGCTTTTGAGTCGACTCAAAAGCAAATGCCGGAGAATGAACTGTACACTGTCTCTAGAGAGAGGGAGTGTGGGTGAGAGGGCTTTTGAGTCGACTCAAAAGCAAATGCCGGAGAATGAACTGTACACTGTCTCTAGAGAGAGGGAGTGTGGGTGAGAGGGCTTTTGAGTCGAATCAAAAGCAAATGCCGGAGAATGAACTGTACACTGTCTCTAGAGAGAGGGAGTGTGGGTGAGAGGGCTTTTGAGTCGACTCAAAAGCAAATGCCGGAGAATGAACTGTACACTGTCTCTAGAGAGAGGGAGTGTGGGTGAGAGGGCTTTTGAGTCGACTCAAAAGCAAATGCCGGAGAATGAACTGTACACTGTCTCTAGAGAGAGGGAGTGTGGGTGAGAGGGCTTTTGAGTCGAATCAAAAGCAAATGCCGGAGAATGAACTGTACACTGTCTCTAGAGAGAGGGAGTGTGGGTGAGAGGGCTTTTGAGTCGACTCAAAAGCAAATGCCGGAGAATGAACTGTACACTGTCTCTAGAGAGAGGGAGTGTGGGTGAGAGGGCTTTTGAGTCGACTCAAAAGCAAATGCCGGAGAATGAACTGTACACTATCTCTAGAGAGAGGGAGTGCGGGTGAGAGGGCTTTTGAGTCGACTCAAAAGCAAATGCCGGAGAATGAACTGTACACTGTCTCTAGAGAGAGGGAGTGTGGGTGAGAGGGCTTTTGAGTCGAATCAAAAGCAAATGCCGGAGAATGAACTGTACACTGTCTCTAGAGAGAGGGAGTGTGGGTGAGAGGGCTTTTGAGTCGACTCAAAAGCAAATGCCGGAGAATGAACTGTACACTATCTCTATAGAGAGGGAGTGTGGGTGAGAGGGCTTTTGAGTCGACTCAAAAGCAAATGCCGGAGAATGAACTGTACACTGTCTCTAGAGAGAGGGAGTGCGGGTGAGAGGGCTTTTGAGTCGAATCAAAAGCAAATGCCGGAGAATGAACTGTACACTGTCTCTAGAGAGAGGGAGTGTGGGTGAGAGGGCTTTTGAGTCGACTCAAAAGCAAATGCCGGAGAATGAACTGTACACTGTCTCTAGAGAGAGGGAGTGTGGGTGAGAGGGCTTTTGAGTCGACTCAAAAGCAAATGCCGGAGAATGAACTGTACACTATCTCTAGAGAGAGGGAGTGCGGGTGAGAGGGCTTTTGAGTCGACTCAAAAGCAAATGCCGGAGAATGAACTGTACACTGTCTCTAGAGAGAGGGAGTGTGGGTGAGAGGGCTTTTGAGTCGAATCAAAAGCAAATGCCGGAGAATGAACTGTACACTGTCTCTAGAGAGAGGGAGTGTGGGTGAGAGGGCTTTTGAGTCGACTCAAAAGCAAATGCCGGAGAATGAACTGTACACTGTCTCTAGAGAGAGGGAGTGTGGGTGAGAGGGCTTTTGAGTCGAATCAAAAGCAAATGCCGGAGAATGAACTGTACACTGTCTCTAGAGAGAGGGAGTGTGGGTGAGAGGGCTTTTGAGTCGACTCAAAAGCAAATGCCGGAGAATGAACTGTACACTGTCTCTAGAGAGAGGGAGTGTGGGTGAGAGGGCTTTTGAGTCGAATCAAAAGCAAATGCCGGAGAATGAACTGTACACTGTCTCTAGAGAGAGGGAGTGTGGGTGAGAGGGCTTTTGAGTCGACTCAAAAGCAAATGCCGGAGAATGAACTGTACACTGTCTCTAGAGAGAGGGAGTGCGGGTGAGAGGGCTTTTGAGTCGAATCAAAAGCAAATGCCGGAGAATGAACTGTACACTGTCTCTAGAGAGAGGGAGTGTGGGTGAGAGGGCTTTTGAGTCGACTCAAAAGCAAATGCCGGAGAATGAACTGTACACTGTCTCTAGAGAGAGGGAGTGTGGGTGAGAGGGCTTTTGAGTCGACTCAAAAGCAAATGCCGGAGAATGAACTGTACACTATCTCTAGAGAGAGGGAGTGCGGGTGAGAGGGCTTTTGAGTCGACTCAAAAGCAAATGCCGGAGAATGAACTGTACACTGTCTCTAGAGAGAGGGAGTGTGGGTGAGAGGGCTTTTGAGTCGAATCAAAAGCAAATGCCGGAGAATGAACTGTACACTGTCTCTAGAGAGAGGGAGTGTGGGTGAGAGGGCTTTTGAGTCGACTCAAAAGCAAATGCCGGAGAATGAACTGTACACTGTCTCTAGAGAGAGGGAGTGTGGGTGAGAGGGCTTTTGAGTCGAATCAAAAGCAAATGCCGGAGAATGAACTGTACACTGTCTCTAGAGAGAGGGAGTGTGGGTGAGAGGGCTTTTGAGTCGACTCAAAAGCAAATGCCGGAGAATGAACTGTACACTGTCTCTAGAGAGAGGGAGTGTGGGTGAGAGGGCTTTTGAGTCGAATCAAAAGCAAATGCCGGAGAATGAACTGTACACTGTCTCTAGAGAGAGGGAGTGTGGGTGAGAGGGCTTTTGAGTCGACTCAAAAGCAAATGCCGGAGAATGAACTGTACACTGTCTCTAGAGAGAGGGAGTGTGGGTGAGAGGGCTTTTGAGTCGACTCAAAAGCAAATGCCGGAGAATGAACTGTACACTGTCTCTAGAGAGAGGGAGTGTGGGTGAGAGGGCTTTTGAGTCGACTCAAAAGCAAATGCCGGAGAATGAACTGTACACTGTCTCTAGAGAGAGGGAGTGTGGGTGAGAGGGCTTTTGAGTCGAATCAAAAGCAAATGCCGGAGAATGAACTGTACACTGTCTCTAGAGAGAGGGAGTGTGGGTGAGAGGGCTTTTGAGTCGACTCAAAAGCAAATGCCGGAGAATGAACTGTACACTGTCTCTAGAGAGAGGGAGTGCGGGTGAGAGGGCTTTTGAGTCGAATCAAAAGCAAATGCCGGAGAATGAACTGTACACTGTCTCTAGAGAGAGGGAGTGTGGGTGAGAGGGCTTTTGAGTCGACTCAAAAGCAAATGCCGGAGAATGAACTGTACACTGTCTCTAGAGAGAGGGAGTGTGGGTGAGAGGGCTTTTGAGTCGACTCAAAAGCAAATGCCGGAGAATGAACTGTACACTATCTCTAGAGAGAGGGAGTGCGGGTGAGAGGGCTTTTGAGTCGACTCAAAAGCAAATGCCGGAGAATGAACTGTACACTGTCTCTAGAGAGAGGGAGTGTGGGTGAGAGGGCTTTTGAGTCGAATCAAAAGCAAATGCCGGAGAATGAACTGTACACTGTCTCTAGAGAGAGGGAGTGTGGGTGAGAGGGCTTTTGAGTCGACTCAAAAGCAAATGCCGGAGAATGAACTGTACACTGTCTCTAGAGAGAGGGAGTGTGGGTGAGAGGGCTTTTGAGTCGAATCAAAAGCAAATGCCGGAGAATGAACTGTACACTGTCTCTAGAGAGAGGGAGTGTGGGTGAGAGGGCTTTTGAGTCGACTCAAAAGCAAATGCCGGAGAATGAACTGTACACTGTCTCTAGAGAGAGGGAGTGTGGGTGAGAGGGCTTTTGAGTCGAATCAAAAGCAAATGCCGGAGAATGAACTGTACACTGTCTCTAGAGAGAGGGAGTGTGGGTGAGAGGGCTTTTGAGTCGACTCAAAAGCAAATGCCGGAGAATGAACTGTACACTGTCTCTAGAGAGAGGGAGTGTGGGTGAGAGGGCTTTTGAGTCGACTCAAAAGCAAATGCCGGAGAATGAACTGTACACTGTCTCTAGAGAGAGGGAGTGTGGGTGAGAGGGCTTTTGAGTCGACTCAAAAGCAAATGCCGGAGAATGAACTGTACACTATCTCTAGAGAGAGGGAGTGTGGTGGGTGAGAGGCAGCAAAGGGACGCCGCGAAGCTCCCCCTCCCCTCACCTTCACCACCACGCAGATCAGCACAGCAGGGGAAGGGAATCATCCGCGCCTGGCAGCTCAAATCAAAGAAGAAACGCCTTTTGATGAATCTGATAACGCTCCCCTCTTCCACTCACTCCACACAACTCCCTCTCCCCCGCCCCCCTTCATCTCTTCCCCCACCTCACCTTCACCACCGCGTAGATCAGCACGGGCAGGAAATCATCCGCGCCTGGCGGCTCTCTTCCCTGGCCTCACCTGTCCTCCCACCCTTCTTTCCTCTCCCTCCAACCCCCAACCCCACCCCAACCCCCCCCCACACCTTACCTTCACCACCACGTAGATCAGCACGGGCAGGAAGTCATCCGCGCCTGGCGGCTTCCCCCCGCCCTTCCCTCCGCCCTCCCCTGCTCCTGCGCCGGCAGCAGCAGCAGCAGCGGCGGTCATGGAAGCGTTGAGGAGGATGTTGTTGATGACGCGGCAGCAGTTGAGCACACACACTAGCTTGTCCCTCGGTGCCTTGAACGACCCCAGCTTTTGTAGGTCCTTTTCTGCAAGCTGTTGGTGGGTCGGGGGTGTTTGGGGAAGAGAGGGCCCGGGGGAAGCGGGGAAGAGAAGGCCCGGCCGGGGGAAGCGGGGGAGGAACGATTAGAGAGTGGTAGGGAGACAAGGAAGATGTGGACAGGGGCCAGCGGGGATGAGAAGGGGGAGGAGAGGCGTGGGAGGAGGAAGGGGAGGCGTTGAGGAGGATGTTGTTGATGACGCGGCAGCAGTTGAGCACACACACTAGCTTGTCCCTTGGCGCCTTGAATGAACCGAGCTTCTGAAGATCCTTCTCCGCTAGCTGGTGAAGCGGGGGAAGGTGAGGGGGTTTGTGTTGGGGAAGGTTGGGGAAACAGGGGGAGCGGGGAAGAACGACCAGAGAGCGCAAAGGGGTAAGGAAGAAGTGGACAGGGGCCAGGGAGAATGAGAGGGGGAGGAGGGGCGGCAGCAGCAGCAGCAGGAGCGGCAGTGATGCAGGCGTTGAGGAGGATATTGCTGCTGACGCGGCAGCAGTTGAACACACACACCAGCTTGTCCCTCGGTGCTTTGAACGGCCCGAGCTTCTGAAGGTCTTTCTCTGCTAGCTGGAGGGGTGTGGGGGTGGGGTGGAGATAGCAGGAGGGCAGTGACGAGGGATGGAGGGAAAGAAAGGGAGAGAGAGCAAGGGGTGTACAGATCACTTGCACGTGATTGTCATGCAGGTATCTCGTGAGTCAAATGGCAAGCCACATCCATACCACAGACACCCACAGACGGACAGACACCCACAGACGGGCAGACACCCACAGACGGACAGACACCCACAGACGGACAGACACCCACAGAGACAGAGCAAGAGCGGCAGCGCACCAGCAGGGAGGCGTCGTTGACCAGCGAGTCGAGGTGACGGGGCGCGGGAGGGGAGACACACAGACATTCACCCACAGACACACGCACACACAGAGCGCGCACCAGCAGGGAAACATCATTGAGCAGCGAGTCAGGCACGTCGAGGTGGCGCGAGAGGGGAGAGAGAGGGATGTCCCAGACACACCCACATACACACACACCCACATAAACACACACCCACACACTCTGAGTATTCGCGCGCACCAGCAGCGAGGCATCATTGAGCAGCGAGTCGGGCACGTCGAGGTGGCGCGGCTGCAGGAAGGTCTGCAGCGCCGCTATGCGCGTGGTCAGGCGCCGGTCCCTCTCCACCTCCTCCTCCTCGGGGGCGAACGCGCGCGGGAAGAGCTTCGTCATCAGATACTTCTCCAGGGCCTGAGGAGGAGCGGAAAGGGGGGGAAGGGAAGGGGAGAGAGGGGAGGGAGAGGGGCGCTTATAGAGATGGGGAGAGGCGGCAGCCGGTCCTGCCCCACCTCCTCCTCCTCGGGGGCAAAGGCGCGGGGGAAGAGCTCCGTCATCAGATACTTCTCTAGGGCCTGTTGTTGATGGGGAGGGGGGAGAGAACGGGAGGAGTGGAGGGGCGCTGATACAGGGGGAAGAGGCAGCAGACGGTCCCTCTCCACCTCCTCCACCTCCTCCTCCTCAGGGGCGAACGCACGCGGGAAGAGCTTTGTCATTAGATACTTCTCTAGGGCCTGAGGAGGAGGGTGGGGTGGGGCGGGGGAGGGCGGAGAGGGGAGGGAGGAGGGCGATTATCAAGAAGGAGAGAGGCACCTGGAGGAGGCCCCTCTCCTCCTCCTCCTTTCTGAGCAAACACGCACGCGGCAAGAGCTTCGTCGTCAGAAACTTCTCCAGGGCCTGGGAAGGAGAGTGGAAGGGGGGGACGGGGAGAAAAAGGAGGGGGCCGCTTATAAAGCGGGGGGGAGGCATTCGGTGGTCCCTTCCACCCACCTCCTCTTCCGCCTCCTCGAGACAAAACCCTGCGGGGAGAGCATCGTCATCAGATACATCTCCAGGGCCTGTTATTGATGGGGAGGGGGGAGAGAACGGGAAGGGGCGGAGGGGGCGCTGATTAAGGGGGAAAGATGCACCAGCCGGTCTCTCTCCTCCTCCTCGAGGGTGGGGTGGGGGAGGGCGGAGAGGAGGGTGGGGTGGGGGAGGGCGGAGAGGAGGGTGGGGTGGGGGAGCGCGGAGAGGAGGGTGGGGTGGGGGAGGGCGGAGAGGAGGGTGGGGTGGGGGAGGGCGGAGAGGAGGGTGGGGTGGGGGAGGGCGGAGAGGAGGGTGGGGTGGGGGAGGGCGGAGAGGAGGGTGGGGTGCCTCACGCGTCCACTCAGGCGCCTCCCCAATTGCCCCCTCGCCCTTGCTCTGTAACCACACATTCCCTACCGCACCCTCCCGTTTCCTCTCCTCCTACGCTCTCATCATCCTACCCTCCGTTATCAGTCCCCCTTCCTCCTTTCACCCCCCGCCTCCCCACTCCCCCCTCCTCCCCATTCCCTCCCTCCCCCCCCCCCCCCAGCGCACCTCCCCCGAGCACTCGAGTTCGTCGGGCGAGGCGCCCTGCCAGAGGGGGTGGGCGCGGAAGGCGGCCTCGATGCTGCGGTAGAAACGCCTGCACGCTAGCACTGTCGCGCTCCGGCTCCGGCTCCTTGCTCATAAACGCCATCATGAAACTGGGGGGGGACGGGGGGAGGGGGAGGGGGAGGGGGAGGGGGAGGGGGAAGGGGGAAGGGGGGAAGGGGGGAAGGGGGTAAGGGGGGAAGGGGGGAAGGGGGGGGGGAAGGGGCAGGGAAAGTCTGTTGAGCCGACTCGGGTGCTCTGCTCCAGCTCCAGCTCCTTGCTCATGAACGCCATCATGAAGCTGGGGACGGGAGGGGGAAGGGGGGAGGGGGAAGGGGGGAGAGGAAAGGGGGGAAGGGGAAGGGGAAGCGGGGGAAATGGAGAGATGGGGGGTGACTATTGATTCGGCTCCTTGCTTGTGAACGCCATGATGAAACTGGGGGAGGGGGGTCGAGGGGAGGGGGAAAGGGAAGAAAGGGGTTGGGGGAAGGGGAAGGGGAGAAGTGGTGGAGGTGCGGGGAGACTATTGAGTGGGCGCGGGGGAAGGTGGGCTCATGATGGCCATGATGATGAAACTCAAGTGGGAGGGCAGTGAGCGGCGGGGGAAGGTGCGGGGAGGAAGTGGAAGAGGGGCCTGGGGTTGGGGGTGGGGACACTATTGAGTCGACTCAAGAGAGAGCAGAGAGAAGCCGGCGGAAGAGAGGGGAAACAGATGGAAGGACGACGGGACGATGAGGCGACGTGGCATGCGAGAGGAGTGAAGGCTCCATCGCACTGTGGCGATCCAGCTCTGCCTCACTGACGGACTGGCTGGCTGGCTGGCTGACTGATTGGCTGACTGACTGACTGACCGACCGACCGACCGACCGACCGACCGACCGACCAACAGGCAGCCTTCAACCAACTGACTGACTGACTGATTGACTGACGGAACCCTTTCCCGCCTGCCTCTTGCCTCACTTGCGAATGGGTCTGACGAGATCTGCTGCGGCGGGCTGCTTCATTCGTTCCAGAAAGTCGTGGAAAGTCAACGCAGTCGTCGCCGCCGTGAGACTGTCGCCTTCTCCCCGCCCTGCCGCCGCGCCCGATCCCACCACCATGCCATCGCTGGCCATTGCACCCGACGAAGCTTATTCCCGAAACACTTGGTTAGACTACGCGAGATGCGGGTTAAGAGCAGTCAGGCGACTGAGAAAGTGTTAGCCATATCGAGGAAAGAGAGGCAGAGTGTACGATGTGCAGGCCTGCGTACAGCGAATTATGGCAAATGCGTTCGGGAAAGATGGGGAAGATTGTAGGAAGAATGGAATCCAGTTGTACTCGTTTGTAATATTGTAAACTGTAAACTTGCATACACTCTTCGTTTGGACATTCGCCTACAGTATTAGGCAAAATCCGAATCGGAAAACGAAAACTTGATAATGAACACCCAGATTCTAGGCCCGTTCGATGAGCTGATGCGCCACGCATCGTGATTGGTCTGCAAGTGAATGTGACTCCACTGATGGCTTCATTTGTATCATGCCATCCACACCCTGCTTGCCATGCAGCCGAGTTCCCGAGGCCGACACGAAGTTCCGTCGCCAACCGCACCGAAAGCCATCGCCAGCATTCGCATTGCCGCTGGCGACTGCTTCGGCCACAACTTGCGACCTTCCATATTCTCCCAACAGCAGCTCCCGCGCTTTTCACTTCCGCCTGTACCGCACCGGCCCTCGATATTTTCGCGCAGCCCCTGCCGCCATCCTTCCGCGCCCAGCAACACTTGCGCGCCGTCATGTCATGCAACCAGCCCAGCTTCCGCCATTCCAGCGATTCCTTGCAGCTCACGTCAAATGGGTCATGCATGTCATCATGGCATGGCCCGCCCGCCCCCCAAAGCCTTCCGCATTCCCCCGACGCCGTTTCGTTGTCCCTCCCGCCCGTTTCCACCGAGTCTTCCGGGTTCTCCCTCTTAGCGAGAGGGATGCTCCACCGAAGCCAACCCAACCTAACAGACCGTAATCTGAAATCAAGATAGTTTCTGTCGGTTTTCTTGCTTTTGCTCATCAGAACGCTGTTTCTGCTGGTGGCATTGCTGCCCTCACATCTCATACCACACTACACCACACCCTGCTTCCCTTGTTCACCTTGGTCTCTACTTCGTGTGCGCGTTTGACGCAACAAACAGCCTCTTTCGCGAATTCCTTGTTTGACCTTACTGGTTGTCCTGGATTAGTTGTCCTTAGCTTGCAAGTTTTCTAGGTCGTCCTCCGTGCAGTCCTAGTCCTGTCCTAGTCCTAATCCGTAATCATGCAGTCGGATTGGCGTTCCCCGCCGCTCGCTGTGTCGTACCCCGAAGTCCCTCCCATGCCGCCATCCACTCAGTACACTCCTTCCTATACGCCGAACTACTCATCGTATCCGCAACCGCCGGCGCAAACTGCGGATAATAACGCGCCCATGTACATGCAACAACCACAACCGCCCGCCGCTTACTCCCAACAAAACTCCGCGTACCCGCAGTTCTCCGCGCCGCCAGCGCCTCCCCCGCAATTCCCGCAAAGCCACGTGGACGACTACGAGACCGGCGTCGACGTGGTAGCGTACGATGCGGGCGGCGCGGAACCGTACGGCGCGAGAGGAACCGGCAGCGGAGCGTATTGGGGCGACGCACCGCAGGGCTTCGGAGGCGGCGGCGGCGGAGGCGGCGGCGGACACATCGGGAACAGCGCGGGAGGGAGCGGGCCAATCAGCAGCCCCCTTGTTGATATTCAGATGCCGTCGCTTTCCGCGGGTTCGCGGGGAGGCGGAGAGGCGCAGGTGGTGGTGGGGAAGGACGGCGTGCAGAGCTTCGCAGTGACGCTGCTGCCGGAACCGGGATCGTCTTCGTCGCCCTCGCAGGTGGTCTGTAAGGTACGGCGATTGACCGCACATGCGCAGGCATGTGCACGAAGATGCGCGCGGGGATGTGCACGAAGATGCGCGCGGGGATGTGCACGAAGATCCGCGCGGGGATGTGCACGAAGATGCGCGCGGGGATGTGCACGAAGATGCGCGCGGGGATGTGCACGAAGATGCGCGCGGGGATGTGTGTTGGGAAGGGGCCGCGACTCCCTCGTTGCTTGATACTGCTGAACTGATGGCATCATTGATGGTTCCTTGTTTTCTTATAGAGGCCCATCTAAGCTGACGCTGACTCTGGATTTTAGTATTTTTCTCCAGAATTCTCTGTTCCTCTTTCTGCCCTATCTCTGGGGCCGGCGCTGGCTTCTTCGCGTCATCACCGTGTATTTGGTCCTTGTTTCCTCCACTTGCGCCGTCGCTGTCGCGTCTTCGTGGACACGTGTGTTTTGCGTTTCTTCTCTGTTCACCCTCCCCATTCGTCCGCCCTTTGCGTTTCCTCTTCTGTTCTTTCTCCACTCTCCCTCCGCACGCGCCTTCTTTCTCTTCTTCTCTCTCCTCCTGTCGAATCCCGAAGTTCCTCTCACGCCCCCTCCCCCTCTCTCATCCCCCCCTCCCCCTCTCGCGCCGCCGCTTATCCTCCCTCAACCCTGCGCAGATCGGCTTGGACGGCATGCGACTGCAGGAGCCGGGCTGCAGGCGTCTCATGCTGCTGAGTCGACTCAAAAACAGACGCATCCCCGCCTACCCCCCCCGCGCTTCCCCCTTCCCCCGCGCGCAGATCGGGCTGGACGGCATGCGCCTGCAGGAGCCGGGCAGCGGGCGCCTCATGCGCATCTACCCGCTTGAGAACATCACCAGCTGGGAGGTACGCGTGGGTGGGTGCATCACCTTGGACGACTTTCAAATATACTTTTCACCTTCTCATGCATCTCGCAGAAGGCGCCTCATGGGCCTCATGCGCCTCATGCGTCTCATGCGCATCTATCCGCTTGAGAACATCACCAGCTGGGAGGTACGCCGCCGCCGCCGCTATTTCTCACTCACGCGCGTCGCATGCGCTTGCAGGTGCTTGCTCGCGTGGTAGCCTCATGCGTTCCGTTGCCTCTCTTCCCCGTGGCCGGTCTCTTCCTCCGCTGTTCTGCCTTCGCCGCGTGCTCTCTTCCCCCCTTCCCCCAGCCCCTCCCTCCCCCTCCCCCCTTCCCCGTTTGCGCTCTCCCATGGACCCTGGTGTTCGAGTTCTCACTCTCTCTCACAGCAGGGAAAGAGTGAGCGCTGTTAACCTCTTCCCTCCCCCTTTCCCCCTGCGCGACTCTTGGTAAGCCGTTTTCCAGCACTCCCTCATCCTCCTGATGGAGATCACCCCCCCCTCCCTGCGACCCGCACCTCTTCCAATCTTGCCCTTTCTCCAAGTGAAAAGAGCCGGGCGTGTTCACGTTCTAAGTGCGCACCGCGGTGGACCCAGACCTCTCTTTCCTCACCTCCCCCCTCCCTTCTGCCTCCTCCCTCTCCTCCGCCTCCCCCCTCCCCTTCGCCTCCTCCGCCTCCCCGCTCCCCTCCGCCTCTCTCCCCGTGCGCCTTCCGCGCGCGGCAGGTGAAGGAGCCGGGCGTGTTCACGATCTGGGTGCGCACAGCGGTGGACGCGAACCCTCTCTTTCCCCACCACCCCCTCCCCTCCGCCTCCGCCTCCCCTCCCTCCCCTCTCCTCCACTTCCCTCCCCTCCCCTACCGTCGCCTCCCCTCCCCTCGCTTCCCCTCCCCTCGCTTCCCGTCCCATCCCACCCCCCCGTGCGGCAGGTGAAGGAGCCGGGCGTGTTCACGTTCTGGGTGCGCACGGCGGTGGACGTGAGTCAGCGCCCCGTGCGCCTGCGCTCCAACGACCGCACCACGTCGCTGCTGCTCGACACGCTCACCGCCGCCTGCATCCAGGTGCGCGTGGGTGGCGGGGGGAGGTGTCGGGGTGGGGTGGGGTTGGGAGTGGGGATGGGAGTGGGCGTGGGGGTGGGGGTGAGGGTGGGGATGGTAGTGGTTGGGGGTGGGGATGTGAGTTGATGTGGGGTCTAGGGGGGCTTTGTCATGCTCTCTGTTGCTGTGAAGCTGATGTACTACTCACGGCAGGGATGACATGACGGTGCTGCCGCTCACAACTTCGCCACTTCCCCTGCGTTTCCTCCCCCACCCCCACACCCCCCCTTTCTCCCCCTCCTCCACCCCCCCCCACCACATCAGGTGTTTGAGATGGTGGGTCGTGACAAGCCAGCACCCGACAAGCCCTCCTCGGCTGCATCAAAGCCCTCCTCTGCGCCCTCCGCCGCCACTGCTGCTGCCGCCTCCGCTGCTGCAGGGGCCGCCGCCGGTGCGGGGGCTGTGCCGTCCGTGATGGGGTGGCTCACGCGCCCGCGCCTGCCCGCTGCTGACGAGCGCGTGCACTGGGTGCGTGGGTGGGAACGGGGTGGGAGGGGGGTTGGGTATGGACGGGATGGGGATGGGGGTCGGGGTGGGCTGGGCTGGGCTGGGCTGGGGTAGGGTGGGGCCGGCTGGGTGGGTTGGGAAGGGGGGTGTGATTATTTGGCTTGGGCTTGGGCACCGCACCAGTGCATGGCCGGGTGCGTCCGTGATGGGGTGGCTCACTCGCCCGCGCCTGCCCGCTGCTGACGAGCGCGTGCACTGGGTGCGTGTGTGGGTGGGGGCTGGGGTGGGGGTGAGGGTGAGGGTTAGGGTTGGTAGGGGATGGGTGTCATGTAGTACTCGCCGTTTGTTCCCCTTACTCCATCTCTATGCCATCCCTCGCTCATCTCGTGCCCTTCCTGTCCTTCCTGTCGCACCCCCTGTCTCGATATCTCGCTCACTCTCCATCCCTCGTTCTCTTCCAGGTGCCTAACGAGGGGATGCCTTAATGCTTGACTGCTCAGGCGCTTTGCAAGTCGTCCTTATTGTTTCTTTTTTTTTTTTCTGCATCCCTTTCTTTGCAAACGGCACGTCATCTCTCACCAGGTGCCAGACGAGGAGGTGCCGAAATGCGCTGACTGTGCTTCTGACTTTGGCACGTTCAACCGCAGGGTATGTGTTGGGTTCGGTTCCTGCCCCTTGACAATCACAGTATGTGCTGCTCGTTTGCGCTGCGATTTGACAATTTTCGAAAAGTCCTGAGATTTGCTTTGGCCCACCTCGCATTGTGTCCGTAGCATTGCCCGCAGACGGCCCCCATCCACGTTGTCTCACTTGGTTTATGCTTTCTTCTCATCTACTCCCCGTTTTACCCACCCCTCGCCTTGCCCCTTCAACCTTAACCTTTCACCCCCTTTGCCGTCCCTACCCTGCTCTTCCACCATACTCTCCCCTTGTGCGTGTGTCATTCCCTACACCGCTGCTGCTGCAACTGCAGCAAAATCTTTTGTGAACAGTGTATTGTACATGCAGCACCTTGGGATTTATTGAAAAAAAGTTCATAAGTCGAGTCAAGTCACCCTGTTCACACCCTTTTTTCCTTCATTTTCCCTTCCTTGCGCTTGCGCTTGTGCGTGTGCCCATCCCAGCATCACTGTCGCAACTGCGGCAACATTTTCTGTGACAAGTGCACGCGAGGCCGCACCCCTCTCTCCTCTGAACCCGATGCTGCCCCTGTGCGCGTCTGCGACGCATGCCTGGTACTGCCATCCCTGCTCCCTCAACTCAACACGCATAGCACCTCTCACGCATACCTCACATTCCTCGCATCACCTCACGTACCACCTGCACCATAACCCATGTGCCTGCTTCGCCATTCCCGCCGCCCTCCCTCATTGATCTCTCATTTTCCTGCCTAACTTCTCTCGCCTCTCACACCCTTACCTTGTCCCGCATCAGTGTGTTTCCCCCCTCCCCCTCCCCCCCCCCCCCCCCCCCCCCCCCCCCCCGTTGGCAACCCACTTGTGAGTCAGAGCTTCCCATGGTTCTTTTACTTGCCTGTCCTCCATTTTCTATCCGAGTCTTGAATAGACCTAACCTCGTGTTTGTTCTTGCTCCTATGCTGTCCCTCATCGCTCTCCCCTTCCCCTTTCTCTTCGTCTTCCTTAATCCCTCCCGTCCTGACACTTACACCCCCCCCCCCACCCTACTTCCGTGATCCCCATCCGTCCTCTCATGTCCCACCCCAGGCTGAGGTGACCCAGCGACTGACCAACGAGAGGGAGTTAGAAGCAGAAGGCTCGTTCAAGTACCCCTCCTCCTTCTCTTCTTGTTTACACACGTCTCAAAGCATCCCCCATCCGTCCTCTCGTGCCCCACCCCAGGCCGAGGTGACCCAGCGACTGACCAACGAGAGGGAGTTAGAAGCAGAAGGCTCGTTCAAGTACCCCTCCTCCACGCCTTCCGCAGCAGCAGCAGGCGGAGGAGGAGCAGGAGGGAGCAGCGGTGGCAGTGGCAGCAGCAGCGGTGGTGCAGGGAAGGGGGGGAGGAGCCATGAGCAGCTGCTACGGCAGCTGCAGCAGGAGATGGAGCGCAACGCCTCATCCGTCCCTCCCGCTCTCCGCAACACCTCCAACTCCTCCTCCCACACCTCTTCTTCCGCCCGCCGCCACTCCTCCTCCTCCTCCGCGCCCCACTCTGCGCATCGCTCCTCCTCTGCTCGCTACGGCAGCGGCGGCGGCGGTGGCGGTGGTGGCGGTGGTGGAGGCAGTGCGTATGGGTCGGGTGGTGCGCCTGTGCTGAGCACGTGCAGCCGGTGCAATGCCGTCGCGCTGCTCCCCCACCCTGCCGCCCCCTGCCCCACCTGCGGTGCTGCCTCTGCTTCCGGCTCCTCCCCCTCTCCTCCCCCCTCCAGGGGGTATGGGGAGAGCGCGGGGGGGATTCCCAGTGGCCCGCCGCACCTGTGGCCGGGGGACGGGGGGTCGATGGGGGGGAGTGGCGGAGGTGGGATGGGAGGGGGAGGAGGGTTGGGGGGAGGGCCGAGGATGCAGCAGGTGGCGTGCCCGACGTGCACCGTGCATCTCGAGGTGAGGACTCGTTAGTCGACTCGACTCTAACGTCACTTTGATGCAGCAGGTTGCGTGCCCGACGTGCACTGTGCATCTTGAGGTGAGGGCAGGGTGCTGTGAGTCGACTTACTGTCACGGATTCTCCTTGGTAGAGAGACGTCTTGGTTCCTTGCTTGCTTGTGAGTCAACTTGCTCGCCGGCTCTCCCTCTCCTCTCCCCCCACTGGACACTGCTCTCTTGCCTCTTTTGAGGCGCCTCAAACGTCTCAGGCTCTCCCCCCACTGGACACTGCTCTTTACCTCTCTCTAACGCCTGCACATCACCCCTCCTTTCTCCACCTTTGCCCCCCTCCCCCCCCCCCCCCCCCCCCTCCTTTCCCCCCGCTCCCCCGGTCACACTTTCCGCTGCAGGTGCAGCTACCAGCATCAGGCACAGAGACGGTGGAGTGCGGTGTGTGCCAACACCCCTTGCATCCCCACCACTGCTCCCATCCTACAACTCTTCACATCTCCACCGCTCCCAACCCCAACCCTCCCTGTCTGTGTCCTTCCTGCAGGTGCAGCTACCGGCATCAGGCACAGAGACAGTGGAGTGCGGTGTGTGCCAACACCCCTTCCTCGTTGCCGCTCCGCAGTAATGCCACCGCTGCCGCTGCCGCTGCTGCCGCTGCTGCTGCTGGTGTGATGGGATGGGATGGCATGGGATGGGATGTCATGGGATGGGATGGCATGGGATGGGATGGCATGGGATGGGATGTCATGGGATGGGATGGCATCCTGTGCTTCAGTGTGTTCCACTGGAGTGGTGAGAGTGGGAGTGGGAGTGGGAGAGAGGGAGCGAGTGCAAGTGGGAGTGGAGGGGGAGGGAGGTGGGTAGCTGCAAGCACAAGGAGGCAAGGGAAGGGCCGCAGGTATAGCAGGGGACCAGCAGTGGATTGGACGGCTGGTGGTGCTGTGGTGGAGAGCAGTGTGGTGGAGAGCAGTGGTGTGGTGGAGACTGGCAGCAGCATGTGTGTGCACGGCATGCACATACCATGCACTCAGGCAGGCACCTCTCTCTGCTGTGGTTATACCGTACCTAGGAAGGGTGGAGTGGAGGGATGGGATGTGTGTGTGATTCTTAGGAGCCGAGGAAACGAGGAGACAATATGATGATGGTTTACTGGCCTTGCAACTTGTTCATACATACCTACAACAGATCTAAGATTACGGGCTGAAGATTCCTACCCATTCCTCAAATTGCATGGCATGGCATGAAAAGGGGTACTATTTGAGTGTATGGGCTTGCTTTTTTTATGCACTAGGCATGATGCTGGTTGCCAACATTGGAAATTTTCATAACCTTGTACAGACATGCCTTGTCACTGATGAATAGACAACTGGTCTTTCTCTTACGGTAGTATTTCACCTGTGTTTTGTTAGCCAGACATTGGGTCACTCTAGGCTAAATTGGAACTTGGGTGGTGGGATATGGAGTTAGTTTCGATGTGCCCCTGTTTCAACACTTCTTACAGTCACCACCGAACAGTTGTCATCTACCTGCCTTAGGAATGTGAGTGAGATGCAACACAACAATTGCACTACTGGTAGATGGTGCATTTCACTCTTGTGCTGCATTAGCAGTCAACCTATTACATAGTACAAACACGTTGTGCGTACGTACATACGTCACACTGAAGCCATCCTTTTCTTTGTCACTGAGAATGTAACACGCCCTTCCAAATCCTACACCAGTTAAACCCCCCTGTTCCCTCTCCAGCACCTCACCCCCTCCCCTCCCTCCCATCTCCCCAACTCCCCTCCCTCCCATCTCCCCATCTCCCTCCCCTGCAGCTCTGCTCTCAGTCTGCTGTTCTTGTCTCCCCTCATACCCGTTTCGCGTACGAGCTCTGAGTTTCGGTATATGCATGCAGCCCTGCACGCCTTTGCCCATTCTTATCACAGTATCTCCTGTTAGCCCCTGCGAGGCGAGGCAAGACGTTCCAAGGAGAGCGTAAGCAGATGATTCCACACTCCGTAAAAGCTGGCCAAATTCAGAGCATGCACAAGAGTGTGTGCACTGCGCATTACACTCTGTAGCCACCCCCCGCACACTGTGTGCTCTCCCCATCGCTGTGCTCTCTCCCCTTTGCTGTGTGCCCTCCTGCCCACACTCTTTTGCACGCCCTGCCCCGGGGAGTGCCTAGCACTTGAACCAGAAGTCACAAGAGTGCATGCACGCACTCACCCCACTCTGCGCCACGCTCTACAATCCGCACTGGCCACTGCAAACACAAGCCGTGACACAGCCCCCAGGCATTCCTTGCTGCCCATGGTGCCATCCTTCAAAGAGGTGGTTTGTAGGGTAGCAGGGTGGCAGTGTGGGTGTGAGAGAGGGTGAGTGGGGGGCCGCCTGAACGCCTAAACCCCGTCTCCAGGTCCCCCCCCCCCCCCGTCGAATCCTCGAGCCTTCAAGCCCACGCACCCACGCTCTGCCTTGCATGCCAAGGCTGCCAGGCTGTCACTGGAAACGCTTTTAGCCCCTGCTGCTGCTGTGCCGCAGGGTCACAGTGGTGTTGTGAGTCTACTCAAAAGTCAACTCCCTTGAAGCCCCGTTCCAAGGGCCGCTTCCACTCAAGCCCACACACCCACGCTCTGCCTTGCATGCCAAGGCTGCCAACCTGTCACTGGCAACGCTTTTGGCGCCTGCTGCTGCTGTGCCGCAGGGTCACAGTGGCCCCCTGCAGTAGTTATGCGTGGGCGCATGGGAAGAAGGCTTGCCCACCCTGTTATAGCTGCACTAGCAGACGTTGCAGCAGCAGCAGTGGTGGTGGTAGCAGTAGGAGTGGCAGTAGCAGCAGTAGCAGCAGAAGCTGCACCAGGAGCAGAATCAGCAGCGGCAGCAGCAGAGATGATGGGAGCACGATCACCGTTCCCCGGCTTCTTCCCTCCTGCCTGCAGCAACCACCGATGCTCCAGCACCTCAAACGAGCTCAGCCGTCGATCCGGGTCCTCCTGGAGCATCCGACGGATCAGATCCTTCGCTCCCGCCGACACGCCTCTCCAAACCGCCCCATTGAAATTCACCGGGGTTCCCGGGATTCGACCGGTGAGCATAGCAGCAAGTGTGATCCCCATACTCCATACATCCACCTTGCAACCATACCCCTCTGCTCCTCCTCCTCCCATCCCACCACCCCTCTTCTTCCCCCCCTCCCCTCCCCCGAACATTTCTGGTGCCATATATAGCCTTGTGCCAGCCCCTGCGTCGGTCTTTTTCCCCTTAGGTCCCCCCTCCACGTGCGTCGACAACGCGAAATCAGCTAGCTTCACAATGAAGCTGGAACGGTCGAAAGGTTTGTCAGAGCGGTTGGAAGCGGTTAGGGGAGAGTGTCTCGTTGATCCTTCGGCTTCTGGCTTGGCGGAGTGGGGAGAGCGAGCGGGAGCGCGGTTGGCTTGGGCGGGGGAAGTGGCTTCCGCGGAGGAGGGGGCGCGCGCGGGAGGCGCGGATGGGTGCGGGGAGTAGAGGGGGGAGCGGGGCGGGGACGGGCATGGGGAGGAGTGCGGGTACGCGGACGGGGAAGGCGGGGAGGAGCAGGAGGAGGAAGGAGAAGCGGGGGTAGGCAAGGAGCACGAGGCGCGGCAGCAGCTTGCGTGGGAGGCGGCGGGAGGAGGGGAGGTCTGAAGCGAGAGAGGAGAGAGGGGCGAGAGGGGTGAAAAGGGAGAGAGAGTTGGAGAGGGGGGGAGCGAATGCGGGCGGTAGGAGTGGGGATGGCAAGGCGGTTCGAGAATCAGCGGGTAGGGAGCTGGAGCAGGGGTAGCGGCATGGGTAGGCGTGCGGGGAGGGGAGTCATGCGGGCGAGCTCCAACCATCCCCGTTGCACTGCTGATGCTGCCGCCGCTGCAGCTGCTGCCTCTGCTACCGCTGCTGCTGCCGCTGCTATCTGCGCCACTAGAACCCGAGGTCCAATCCTCTATTCTATCACTCCCAATCGAACAACACCGCGACTTCGACGGCGATCGCGGCGACGTTGGCGCCAGTCGCGGTGACGACGGCGCCGGCGCCGATGACTGCGACGGTAACGGCGACTGCGACGGCGACGGTAACGGCGACGATGACGGTGACGGCGACGGCGGTCGCATGAGCAGCACGTTGTCCGGCTTGATGTCGCGGTGGATGACGCCGCTCGCGTGGCAGAACGCCACGGCGGACGCGATCTGACGGAAAACGGCCGCCGCGTCGCTCTCCGTCAACGGACCGCGTTTCACAATCTCCGTTAGCAGGTCCTCCGAATCTGTGTACTCCATAATCACGTGTACCTTCCAGCGGTTACCACTGGAACTACTTTTACCACTCGCCTTAGGACTCGTGGCATTAGTAGCATATGAAACGGCGGTATCAGCTTCAGCCGGACCGTAGAACGCCGTTTCGCAGTTTCGGTTGGTAGCAGCAGCTTCGGGTAGAACGTGACGTGGCGGCTCTACGACAACGTCGAGCAGCCGAACGATATTCGGGTGCCCGGTTACCACCTCCAGCGAAGCTACTTCCGCGAAGGCATCTAGCCGCATCAGCGGGGAATGACGAAGGTGAGAGAGCTCCGAGTCGCGATGGCCGCCGTTGAATGCGGCGAGAGAGTCAAACGCCTTTCGAGGCCCCTCAAGCGCCGCGACTGATGGCGAGCTGAAGGCGTTAAACGACAAAGCGGCGGTGGCCGCGGCGGCCCTGGAAAGGCGGAAGCTCTTGCAGGCGACTCTTTGCGAAGATTCGGAGACTCCTGGCGACGGCGAATCCGCGACACTTGAATATCGAGGAGGAGAATCTGCCGCTTGCCGGGGCGCTTCCTTTAGGAGTAAAGGCTGACTCGGGGCTCGCGCCTCCGCAGCAGCGGCGCGCAAATCAACGCACTCCCACACGGTTGCCTGCGCGCCCACTCCAATTTGGCAAATGCGCCGGTACCTTCCGCCGATGATAGTTTCCGCGCGGCCTTGCGCCGGCTCCGCCGATACGCGCTGCAGAGAGGGTTCCGGAGCCATGGTCTGCGCGCGGAGACGAGAAGCAGAGCGGCAATGAGCGGAGCGCAGCAGAGAGGCCGAAGGCAGGCGGAAGCAAGAGAGGGAGCCCGAGGCGCCGGCGGAGAGGCGCAGAGGGCTGCGTAAAGGCTGGGAGGAGAGGCCGGGCGGAGAAGTCGAAGCTGTAACCTTTAGTGAAAGAACGGGACGCTTTGCGAGTCTCGAGTGACACAGCGCCGGCGACCGAAACAAGCTGGCGCGACACAGCGCGATGGTGGTTGAAGTGAGCAATAAATGTGGATTGATACAAGCTGGCGTTGCGGGACTAGTGGTACAGCGAAGAATGGCGGTGCGCGTGACTCTTACGGTAAGCGCTAACTAGGAGAAGGATGTGGACTGATACAAGGTGAGCCCCCTTGAAACGCGTGCCGTCTATTGCGGAGACGTAACGTGTTACAGCAATGTGGAGTGCGGGTTAATACAGCTCAGCGCGTGAAAAACCGGGCATGTCTCAAGAGTGACTGCCGTGCGGGCACGAGTCCGAAGAGAACAATTAAGGAGTTTAATTGACGCGAACTTGGCGCGGACTTCACGGAGTGCACTTGAGAGGGAGAGGGAAAATGGCCTTGATCACTACTCACGCCTTGGTCAAGCCTCGGTCACGCCTTGACCACGCCTCGAACGCGTTTTTCACGTGGTGGCCGGGTTTGTGGCTCCACGCGATGCGCTCCGACTGCTGGACGGACGGGTCAGTGGCTATACAGCCTTCTGTACGTTTAAGCTACTACTATCACGAGTCGCAGCAACGGGCAACTAAGCTGGCGAATGACCGCGGAAACAGAGACTTTGCTGGGAAGTCGCTATGGCTTGGCACTACGTACGGGATGCTGGTCTGAAGGTTGGTGCGAATCTGGACTAGGAGCGATTTGGTCCGATTGACTCTGATGTGGCCCATGACTGCTTGGCGTCAACGCCTCTGGTGCGGTTCGTGCTCGTGGTATGGTGGTTACGCTCGGAGTTGGTGCAGTATCATTAGTTGTTGCAAGGCGGTTGGCAATGGGCCGACGGCCATGGCCACTGCACAGGTGCCGTGCTTGCTGTTTAGGAAAATGACGGCTGACGAGAGAGAGAATTGTCAGGACTGGTTTGCGGAGTGGTGGTACTGTGAACGATAATGTCGGGAAGACGCCTAAAGCCGTGTGGGAGAAGCAAAGCGACGACTGCGCGCGAAGAGGGACGATAACATTGCAGTCGATGATTGAGCAAGGGAGACGAGAATACGAGGAGATGGGAGTTGGGGGGGCACGAGACGGGGAAGGAAGGAGCTGGCTGGTAGTCGGTCGGTTTGGTTGAATCGAGTGAGCGGAGGGACAACGATGACGAGAACCGGAAGCGGGAAATTTGGAGGTGACGTTCGGCCCCGCGACTCGACCGCTAATATCCGACGGTTATTAGGCTCGGAGCTCGCATCCGACGGGCACGGATTCGTGTTTGTTGGTTTGAGTGCGCAACGCGCCTGGGTGGAAGTCTCTAGGTTTGCACAAAGTTCAGGGCAGTTCACATAAACCCCTTGGCCAGGAAGTGGGGTTGTATCGAGAAGGCATCGTGCTGTCCCCAAGGTAGAACAGCTAGTTGTGTTTCCTGGACGTGGTGTGTCGAGAGAGGGGTGCAAATACCAAAATATTGCTGACAACACGTGGCAAGTGTAGCTGGAATTCCGACACTTTCAATGAGCAACTCTCACTATAATTTGGAAAGCCCCTCAATAATAATGCTGGCTCAGGGCAGCTACCTCCAAAAAGTACGAATGACTTTTGGAGAACGTGACGACGTCGTCGAAAATTGCGACGTCGTCCTGGCGTGTGGAAAGGCGTCCCTGGCAGAACTTCCACGAAGTTATGTGACCTCGCTAGCATGATCGCTCGTTAAAAGAGACGAAATTGGATTATGCAAGACACGGTATACTTTGCCCCATCAATCCATGCCCCATAATGCAACAGATGGGGTTAATTAGTAAATAATATAAGCTAACTGATCAAAGAACATAATCCGTCATAAAATAATGGCAACCAAGAAATGTGTTAGTCCTAAGCAACCCCCCCAAGAAAAAGGAAAGAGCATGAGAACCAAAGCAGATCAACAAGAGCAGAAAGTGGTTAGTCAAAGCATCAACCAACCAGAGCAATTCTTGTATACGGAGACAATGTTGGACTTGGAGTAGTAATCGCAACAACGATACCTAGCTGCCTTGTTCAGGAAGCTTTGCTTTGGCACGAGTGCGTGCACCACCCAGCGCATGCACACATGTGTCAAGGTCAAAAGAGCTTCAACCTTTGAATGCAGCGCAGTGACATGCTTGTTGCAGTCTCCAACAGGACGAAGGCCAAGGCAGTGCACCAGTGGACCACGACCCCCTCTCTGCACATTATTCCCTTCCCTTCCTTCTGCCCTTAACGCCTCCACCATCACCACCTCGGACTGCAGCACGCCCGCCGCATCCTCCTTGCTCCTCTGCACCTTAATCCCTTCCTTCCTGTCCCCCAACGCCGGCTGCTGCGGCTCCTCTGGCACGCCCTGGCATCCAGCAAGTCAATCAGATGCGCCACTCCGTTCACCCTTCCCCCCCTCTCCTTCCCCTCACCCCTGCCTCAATCGCTGCAGCAGCTCCTTTGCCTCTGGTGCACTTCCCTCCTCGCCGCTCCCCCCGACAATCCGCACGAGCGACGGAATCGCCCCTTCCGCTCTTAATGCCTCCACCGTCGCCACCTCACACTGCAGCATGGCCAGCAGCACGCCCGCCGCATCCTCCTTGCTCCTCTGGCACGCCCCCGCGTCCAGCAAATCAATCAGATGCGCCACGCCCATCCCGCCCTCCTGCGCTGCTATCTCCTCACACGCCTCCGGAAGCCGGGAGAGGTTCAGCAGCACTGCAGCCGCCTTCTCCTCCATCCCGGGGAGCCCTCCTCCTCCCTCGTCCTCGTCTTGTCCCACGAGGCTCAGCAGCAGCGGGATGGCGCCCGCGGCGACGATATCCCGCGCGCACCGCACGGAGAGGGACAGCGCGAAGAGCGCGAGAGCGGCGTCTTTCCGCCCGCGCGCGGACCCGGTCGCCATGACGCGCACGAGCGGGGGGATGGCCCCTCCCGTGCGCACGAGGGACCGGTTCTCGTCGTCCTTGGCGAGAACGTAGAGTGCTGCCGCTGCTGTTGCCTGCGCTGCGGGAGTCGCATGGTGAAGGACGGAGACGAGGGAGGGGATGCCTCCCGCTAAGACCACCTCCGGGCCCGCGTTCCAGTGGAGCAGCAGCGCGAGCAGCGCGTTCATCACGTTCTCCACCACCGCCTCTTCCTCTCCTGCCGCTGCTGCCGCTGCTGCTGCCACTCCTCCTGCTGCTCGCCCGCTCTCCCACTCGTCGGTGTGTGTGGCCAAGGCGGCTATCAGGGCTTCCAACACGCCTGCCTCCAGGAAGGCTCTGCGCTCCTCCCTGCTCTCGCCGGCGCCCCGGGCTTTCACCATGGCGCGGATGCTCCGGGCAGCACAGATCTTCTCCGTGCTGCTGCTGCCTGAGGACAGCGCATCGGCAAGTGGTGCGTACTTTCCCATGGATGCTGCTGCTGCTGCTGCTGTTGCTGCTGCTGCTTGCTGTGACCCGAAACCCATCGACGGTGGAGCACGGTGGAAGGGAGAAGCATTGGCAGACGACGAAGCAGCGGAGGCGGCAGCAAAGGCGGAAGCAGCGGCGGCGAAGGAGACGGCGCTGCCGGCAACAACGCCGGCTGCTGCAGCGTCGATCTCGGGCGTCCACATGAGGCTCTCGTTGCGCATGTGACCCAAGTACCCACTGCGGTTACCACCCGTATAAGCACCACCTGCAACTGCAGCTGCAGCCACAGCAGGGGACGCAGCAACGGCAGCAGGGGCAGCAGGGGAAGCAGTAGGGGAAGCAGCTGTGGAAGTTGGAGTATGTGGGTGCATCATCCCTCCCATGTGGGTTTGACTCCTCCTGTGAGTGCCACTGTCGCCCTGCCTCTGCCCGCCCTGTTCCCCTTCCAGCCATTCACCCGCTGCAGCTAGCGACACCACACCACCCCCTCCGTCACTCCTGCACCTCTCACCACCAGCATTAGCACCAGCAGCAGTACCACCACCAGTGCTACCCCCCTTGCCGCCCCGTCCCTTACCTACCCTGCCCTCTTGCCCCCTCCCCTTCCCCTCACCCCCTCCCTCCCTCGCCCAGTCATCTCTCCCCCTGTTTGACCCGCTTCCTTTGCCTTTCACTCTGCTCTGCTTCCCTGCCCTCTCCTCTGCTAACAGGCATGCCAGCTCAGCTTCCCTCCTCTGCTCCTCCCCCCACCGGCCCTCCTCTCTCTTAGACCCTCTCTCGCCCCGGCCCCCCACCCCCCTCTCCCCACCTCTCTCCCCTGCTCTCTGTGCCCCTCTCTCCGGTTTTCTCTCTCCTCCTCTCGCCCCTAGCACTTCCCTTTCCTCCTCCTTCTCACTCATGCATGCACCACCAAACTCCAAACCCTGCTCCGCCCTTCCATCCCCTACCTTCACTACCCCTTCCCCTCCTGCCGCTCCTCCTCCCGCTCCCCCTCCCGCTCCCTCCCCCGCCCCCCCTGCGCGTCCACTCCCCCCTTCACCACGCCCCGCCGCACACTCCTTCTTCCCGCCGCGCCTCCCCCCAGCGCCGCCGGGGGAAGCATCAGCCACTCGGCCCAGCGCATTGCCAAACACGTGCAGCAGACCGGGAGGAAGAGCCGACTTGGACCGTGCCAGCCCAAGCCCGTGACTCACCGCCCCTCCGATACCTCCTATACCTCCCATACCCCCTTTCGCCTTTCTCCCTGAACTCGCCCCACCACCAGTGGCAGCAGCACCAGGAGAGGCGGCAGCGGAAGAAGAACCGGGAAACGCAGCACCAGCAGCAGCAACGTCGTCACTGCTGCTGCGACTCCTGCCAAACACCTCCCCAGTACCACCACCACCACCACCACCATCATCCCCTCCCTCGCCCCTCCCCCTATTCTCCCCCCCACGCCCCCCCTTCCACTTCCACCCTCCCAGCATATCAGCCATTTTGCCTGCACCCTTCTTATGGTGCCCTAGCCCTAGCCCCATGTGACTCATGTCGGTGCCCCTGCGCTCTAAGGGCCGCTGTGAGGAGGAGAGCAGGTTGGGCGTGGTAGGGAAGGCTCCTATTGAAACCATTGGGGGTGGCGGCAGGGGTGTTACCGCCGCTGCTGCTGATGCTGCTGCTGATGCTGCTGCTGATGATGATGATGGTGCTGAAGCGGATGGTGAGGGTGCGGATGATGGTGGTGACGGTGGTAGGGTGAGAGGAGAAAGGCCGGGGGACGACGCATAGGCACCGGCGGCGGCGGCGTTAGCGTTGGTGTTAACGTTAGCGTTAGCGCTCATGTTATTGTTAATGTCAGTGTGATTACCACTCGCACCCCGTCCCTCGCCCCCACCCCAACTGCCACCACTACCGCCACTGCCACCAGCAGCACCAGCAGCAGCAGCAGCAGCAGCAGCAGCAGTAGCAGCGCTGTAGAGATCAATGAAAGCAGAAGCGGTGGTGCCCGTGTCACTGTCACTGGCACTGGCACTGGCACTGTGCCCCTTAAGCAAGCCCACATGCAGATCTGGGACCGCAGCAGCAGCAGCACCAGCAGCTACAAGACCCACACCATAACCAGTAGCAGCAGCAGCAGGGGAGCGAGTGTCGAGGGGAGGGCGTGCGAGGTTGCGGCGGGGGGGGAGGGGCGAGGGGGCGTTGTGCTGCATGAGCAGCAGCTCGTGGGGGGGAATGTCCACTCCCATGCGCACGCCCAACCAGTCCTCCCTCACTGCCGCCACTCCCCCCATCCCCCCGCCTCCCCCTCCTCCTGCTCCTCCTCCTCCTCCTCCTCCTCCTCCTGCCCTTCCTGTGCTTCCTTCTGTGAAGCTCCCTGCGCGTCTCTCCACAGCAGCAACAGCAGCGTCTGCGATTGCGCCCATGCCCCTCCCCCGCTGAGACCCCCACTCAAACACCCCTCCTCCGCCTCCCCCTCCCCCTCCGCCTCCGCCTCCCCCTGCGCCAGCCAAAGGGTGCCTGCTGTTACACGAATTGCTCCGAACATGCTCCATCCCCTCCCGCACTCGCTCCCTCTCCCTCTCCCACTCCGCCTCCCTCACACCCTCTTCCTCCTCCCCATCCGCATTCCCACTCCCATCCCCTCTTCCTCCCTCTTCCTCTTCCGTTCTCCCTCCTCCTCCTCCTCTCCCTCCACCATCCATCCCATTTCCCCCATCCCTCCATCCAAGGACATCCGCTCTCTTCCAAAATCCGCGCTACCATCCCCTCTCACTCCCCGTTCCCCCTCCGCCTCTCCACGGCGCCCCTCCCCCTCCCCTTTCCTCACCCGCGTAGCTACCTCTCCCCCAAACCCACTCGACTCAAGAGCCGCAGTAGCACCAGCACCACCAGCAGCACCACCACCACCGCCAGCAGCAGCAGTGGCAGAGCGGCAGTGGAGCGGGTCACTGTTCTCACTGCCTTGCCGAGACACCACAGGCGTGCGCGCAACACGGCTGCGCCCACGCCCCCCCCGCGCCTTACTTGCCCCCTGGCCCGCCTGCTCCCGCACCTCTTCCTGCTCTCCCTGCTCCGCCTGCTCCCGCTGCTCCCGCTGCTCCTGTTCTTCACTGTGGTAGTCCCCACTCGCTCCTCTATCCGCGTTATAGTCATGCTCCTCGTCACGGCCCTCCAAACCCGTTTTGGGCCGCTCCGCCCTCCGCGCGCCCCTCTCCCGCGGAACCCTTCTCTCTCCCGCCACCTCCTCTTCTTCTTGCCGCCCGTTTCTCTCCCCCTCTTTCTCCCCTTCTCTCTCCCTCTCCCTCCCCCACTCCCTCTCCCCTTCCTCCCGCAACTCCTCTCCCACGCGCGCGGTTCCGCCCCCCTTCTCCCCCGCTCTTCGTTTCTCCTTCGCCTTTTTCTCGCGCCCTTCCTTCTCGCGCTTTTCCTTCGCCCCCTCCTCCGCCCCTCGGCCAATCCCCTCATCTCGCACATCCCCACCGCTCCCGCCGTCTTTCCCGCCGCCATCTCTGCTACCGTTCCTGCTGCGACGAGTGCCCTTGCTGCTTATCACACCCTGCGAGCCCCCACCGCTGTCCGGTCCCCCCCCACCTACTCCGCCCATCGCCAGTCCCCCCATCACCTCCTCCTTCTCCCGCCGCGTCAGCTTCACGCTCCCCGCTGCTGCTCGGCGCAACCCCACTCCTCTTCCGCCCGCTTTCCCCCCGCTCTTCCCCTTCCCCTCCTTCCCCGCGGCTTCTCCTTCCGCCTTCCCGCCCCCTTCCGCCTCCTCCCATATTCCGGTCACCTCTCCGAACGTTACTCTCCGCCTGCTGCTGCCGGCCTGCGCCGCCGGTTGCGCCGCCCCACGCTCCGCGCTCTCCGCGTTCCGCCAGTGTTCCGCCTCCCCCAGCACCTCCGCCAGACCCTGGTTCCCCGGCGCGGGGAAGCTGCTGCGCGTGCGGGAAAGCAGCGCGCTCCCCAGCCCCTCCCGCGATCCGCGCTCCCTCCGCTCTTTCGCCTGCTTCTGACGGCTATCCGTCGGCAAACCGTCGAATGCATCCTGACCGTTAAAACTGCCGGTCGGGATGCCGTTGCTCTTCCGCGCGCTTTTTCCCCCCATGGAACTAGTCGTGCGCAACGGTTTCCGCCTCTGAGCGGGCGCGGCTGCGCCTTCAGTAGCGGATGGGCCACCGGCGGGACTTGCGGCGGATTGCGCGGCGTCTACTGCGGCGACGGCGGCAGCGGCTATGGCCGCAATATCCGGCGGAGGATGCGCTTCTTGAAACGGCTGCTGCTGCTGCTGCTGCTGCTCCGTCGGATCAGCCGCCTTAGACCTTCCGAACGAGCTTGACGAGCCGCGAGATGCCCTTAGACCCGCCTTCGCCTCCGCGCCGCCCTCACCTTTCCTCCCCGCGGCGCTCCCCTCGCGAATCAACCCTTCCCCGCTCGCCGTTCTGCGCCTCTCTTTCCCGCTCCTGCTCCCGTCCCCTCCGCCCGCAACTCTCCGCGTCTCCTCCTCCCACCTCTTCCCCCGCCTCGCATCCTCCCCGCGCTCATGCGCGCGCGGGTGCGCATGCTCCCGCTTCTCCGCCCCTCCGCTTCTCCCGTCCGCTTCCTGGCAACCCGCTCCGCCTTCTCCCTCCGCAAAGTTCCGCTCCGCCGGGCTAGGGTCCGCGCGCTCGCCGGACACGCCGCCCCCTTCCACTTCCCCGCGCGCGAGATCCTCCGCACCCGCGCTCTTCTTCCTCCGCGGGCCCGACTTCTTCTTCCCCAGCTTCACCGCGGCTCCTTCCTCGTCTTCCGCGGACTCTCCGCCGCCCCCTTTTCCGCTGCGCGAACCGCTCATCCTCTCCGCCGCGTCCCCCTGCCCCCGCTCTACCAGCGCCTCCCCTTGCGCGTGCGTTGTTCCGCGCACGGACCCGAAACCGTCCTTGCTGCGCGCCCTGTTCCGCCGCTCTGCTTTGCCCTCTGCTTTTCCCTCCGCTACGCCCTCCGCTTCCCCCCGTTCTTCGGACGGGTGACCATCACGCATCTGTTGCTTCTGCTCCCTCTGCTTCTTCTGCTCCCTTTGCTCCTGCTTATGTTGCTGCGGTTGCTTCGCCGTTGCGGTTGCGCGAGTATCTATCTTTCTCGCCGCCGTAGCGGCAGCGGCGGCGTGTTTGGCGGCGGGACTCTCGGCGAAGCCCGAGGAAGGCTTCGACGCGGGAATTGGCGTGATTGGCGGGAGGCTGACGTCATTTGCCGCGCACCAATCAGCAATCATACTCCTAAGGGCGAAATTAGGGCAGAAATTAGTGTGCTCGATGCACTGTCTCGTTTTAGGGCAGGACGAACGGCCCTCGGAAAACCAACGCTCGATATAAGCACGGTCATATGTCTGCCCGGAGGCGATAATAACGGGGTCTCTCATAATTTCGAGCGACAGCGGGCAGAGAAACTCCTCCGGAACGTTCGCAGCAGGGTCGCTGGTTTGACTGCTGCCCCCGCCGCTACTGTCGGCGCCGCTGTCGCCGTTGCTACTGCTAGGACTACCCGCATCGTTCTCCCGTTTGCCGTTTTCCCCGCCGCCAATTGCGCGACGGCTGCGCGCCGTTGATTTGGGCCTGTGTCCCCCCATCTGCTGCTGCAGCGTCACCCACTTGGGCGGCGGCGGCGGGGAGAGAGTGTCTTGGCGCGAGAGGTTCCAGGCGTCTGGTTCGATAATAGGCTCGGTTGTAGCTGCCATTACTATGTCTTGTACGCGTCTACATGATAACGCGGATGTCATTTCGAGCTAAGGAAACGGGGCGAGGGAGTCGAGATGGGAAAGGACGGATATGGGGGGAACGAAAGGAGAGCGTAATACGAAGGGATGAAGGGAGGAACGCGAGGAAGGGCAGGAAGGAGGAGGAAGGAGGAGGGACCTGCTTACGCATGCAATTGATTGACAGCCAATCATTGGTGCGAAAGTCAGGGGACCGATGAGGATGCGCGGCGCGGATAGAGGGGATCGCACTATGCTAAGAATAAGAAGTTTGACTATTGGGACGCAAAGTAACGACGCGCATTGGTGCGGTTTAAGAGGTGTTTTGGTAAACGACGCGTCCCACATCGCGTTCCTGGTTCGCCCACTCGTACGCGATCAGAAAGGGAAGCGCCCGCCATTTCGCGCTTCCCAATAGCCATTCCTAGTCTAGGGACCAGTGGAAGGAGAAATTATTACTTGCTTGAGTAGTTTCCCGTAACATCCTTGTCTTGTCGTCACAGCGCTACGCAACTGCTGCGGTTTCAATCCTACGAGGCCCCCCAATGACGGCTTTTGGTTGGCAGCATTTGGGCAGCAGTGCACCAGCGTTTGGGCTTCTAGAGCCACACCGCTACCCCCGCTGCTGCTGCTGCTGCTGCTGTTGTTCGAAGCTCACGGTGAAGCTAGAGTAGGTTGACATCCAGACAAAAGCCCGTTATATCTACGTTTTAGAGCGGTAAATATACTACTGTAATCGGTTCAGTAGGCTTTTGAGGCCTCTTTTGGCGCTCGGGGTTCAATCTTCAAATCAAACCCCTGTGCGCGTGCTTGGACTCTTCGCTTGTGTCGTTGTTGGCGAAACCGCGCAGCTGGGTTGCAGTGAGGGGAGGCGCACTGCATGCCCCTTTGCGCATTTTGCGGTTGCCCCTCGAACCGCCGCCAAATGTTCCCACTGTCCGAAGTGAGCAGCAAATCTGAAGTGCGCCTATATCTTGGGGCTAATATTCGAAAGGACCCGGATGCATCCAAGCTTCCAACAATGGGAATCTGGAAGAAAGTTGGAGGTCCTGGAATGTATCCCTGTTACATCCGCGTTTATGAAAGGTCGGGATGGATGGTGTTCCCACTCATGTTTCGTCCGTGATTTCCATGAAACCACAAGTGTGTAATACTGTCCAGATGCACACGCTCTCCAAGCTTCTACCCTCGCTTCTCGCTTTATTGTGGTAGGAGGGGCGTAAACTTGAGTCACTCTAAATTTGAGGTTCTGGTCTGAAGAAGGAAACGAAAGGTCGGAAACATGATAGTGGAACAAGGGTAGGTGATAAAGAGAGGCAGAGATGCTCAAAATATCCATACATTCTTCAGCAGTTTGCCCGGTTCTGAGTATGAACTTCAACTTCTTACATCGAAATGTTGAGAAAAAAACGTGATCTCTCTCGATGGGGGGAATGGGTGTTGGAAGGACCGGGGACGGGCGGAGGGGGTTGGAAGCGGGTGGGGAGTGGGAGGGTGGGAGGAGGGACCCGAGGAGTTGAGCTTGTCGGGAGGAATGGGCAATTGTTTTTAGTTTGGAGGGGTCCCGTGGGTTTGTAGGGAGGAGAGTTGGTGAGGTGTAGGATGGGCTGGATTGGTGTGTTATTTGTCCTCCTTTCCCTCCACCAGCCCTCCCAACATTCGCTTTCTCGTTGGATTGAGGTGTACCGCGTCCCCGGTCAGACTGAAATGAACTGAAGCATATCCCCAAGGCAAGTAGGAAACGGAAACCGTGTCGTTTCGGTGTTGGTGTTCGGGGAACCAGGAATTGGCCAGTTCCTGGGAATTCGACCAGAGGGAACAGCAGAAGTCCCAAAGAGGCGAGGACGAAATTGGCGCAAGACATGGAACACAACATAACCCAATCATGTAGCTCAAGGGAGGTCAGGCAACCCTTGTCCCGTAAGGAAATAAGGCAGCCCTTCAACTGTAGCGGTGCATGCTACACTGTAGGGTCCTCTTTTTCGTCCCCGAAAACATTTACACTGTAATTACAGTACACCACCATCAGTACAGTAACTTGTCTCTGCACTGCACTGCACCTGGTTTGGAAAACTGTAGGTGTGAGTTGACAAATTTGTTTTTTATTTCGGGATTCAGGGGTTTTCAGTCAGACACACCTCCCACAAATCAAAATTCTTCCCAATCGTCCCCCACTTGTCAACAACCCCAATGGTAGCGCGGCTCGAGCACGGACCTTGCGTCACCACCACCACCTGGTTGATCCAATACACCTAGCCCGCGCCAAATTCACTAGGGCCATTTTCACCCCCCTGTGTAATTATTTCTGATTTACCCGATATTAAAGGGCTGTTTTGAATGCTTTCGTTTTAAAGAGGGTACGTTTCAGACATCTCTGACGAGTTAGAGGGGATTAAAAACGGGTCACAATAAACTATGGTCGAGTCGCCGTGGTAAGAGTGCGTTTTTTTTTTTTTAATATCTTGACACTTGGCTGAGTGGTTTGTAGCCTTCAAATTCTGGGAGTTTACCGATAAAAGCCAAAATCGGGTTCAGGGTGCTTGCCGAAACAAGTTGTAGGGTGTGAAAATAGTGCGGGCTAGGTGTATATGGGTGAAGAAGAGCCCTCTTCATCTGACGTGTACATGCACCCAAAAGGGCACGGAAACTGGGTGCTGCTGTCGCGTATGTAGGGTTGGGACAAAAAATCTCGTACCCTCACAAGATATCAAATATAGAAGGAACTAAAAAATACAAACAAAAGAAAGGAGACAATGAAAACTTTTAAGGGTTTAATGTTTAAGGTTTTATTGAGGTCATTGTTACGAGTGCAATTGAGTGGGCGAACGAGAATTTCACTATCGAAGCAAGAGTACAATGAGCGAAGGCATGAGCGAAGATTATATAGCGAAACTACAGTGGTAACGGTAATATGCGAAAATTGGGTTGCGCGACGGGCCTAGCGCCGAGGGTGGGAAATGCCGAGGCGGAGGTCCGGAGCGCGGGTTACCAACCGAGCCGTGAGGTTGGGTCGCGGCGTGAACAGTGGCGGGAACAGTGTCGAGGCGAGTGTCGCGAGTGGTAACGGTTTACTGTTTGAGTGCTAGTGGCGGGAACAGTGGTGTACGCGCTAAGCAGGGACGCAGAGTAAGAAAAATGAATTTTCCTTACACTACCCCCCCACCTAAGGAGGCCCTCCTTACGAAAGCGCGACTACATCCCGAAAATTTCGGCTTCGCAGGCACTTGGTGAGGACGGGGTGATTCTCAATTCTGTCCAGGGGAACCCAGTTGTCTTCAGTGGGTGTACGGTCCTTCCAACGGATCAGAAATTCGATCCGTCGAGCTCTTCGTGGGTCACGAACTCGGTGGCTCAGAATCTTGTCGGGCGTGATGATTGGCTCTGTGGGCGGTCGTGTCATGCTGGCTGGGCGGTTGCGAGGCAGTTGGCTGGTGCTCGGGATGTAGGGGCGAAGTAAGCTGGCGTGGAAGGATGGGCTGACGTACCAGTCAGCCGGGAGGAGGTGGGCGGTGACCGGTGTGATCATGTGGCTGATGCAAAATGCGGAAATTCACTCTACAACGGTAGTGAGCTAGACTATGGGGGTTGGCACGAACTACTAGGAGTGATCGTAGCTTTGCTTGGTTCCTTAGTGCTTGCACATTCACGAGAGTTTCCACTAGCAAAGTTGGAATTACAGAATGATTGAACAAGCAATGACAGAATGGACTACATCAGGCACCTACACTGGAGCTAGCCTGGTCGACCGCCAGCACTGCATGGTCGACCGCCTGCCAGCGTTGCGTAGAGGAGCCGCGCCAGCACTGCAGAAGAGCGACCTGCCAACACTGCAGGTCGACGGCGTGCCAACGTTGCAGCTGTGCGGCTGCCCAGCGTTGCCCTGTAGAAGACAGCAGTGCGCACGCTCGCAGGTGCGCGCAGACGATTGGCCCGACTTGCCTTGTTGGGCATCCGTCGGCTGTTGTCTGCGCCTGACGAGCCACATCGACTTCGGGATACCATTCCGAAGTCGCCTTCGTCATCGCGATCTCGACGACGTTCGCGTGCCTCCGCAGAACTCGTCGAGCAGGTTACCCGGTCGACCTGGTCGACCCCCAGTGTCTCCGGTCGACCACCAGGTGCCTCCGGTCGACCACAGCTCCCTCTGGTCGACCACCAGGTGCCCCTGGTCGACCACAGCTCCCGTCGAGCTACCCCCTGGTCGACGGACCCCTTCCGTCGACCAGAACTGCTCCGTCGACCTCCCGGTCGAGCTGCAGGTCGACGGGATGCCCCGCGGTCCTCCCGGTCGAGCTGCAGATCGACGGGATGCCCCGCGGTCCTCCCGGTCGAACTGCAGGTCGACGGACTGCTCCGTCGACCTCCCGGACGGCCCACCCGTCGCCCAGGCCAGTCAGTTGCAGCTGTCGAGCTCCCTGGTCGACAGCAACACCACAGCGGTCCCCTGCAGCTCGACGTAGCCTGTCGAGCAGCTCTCCCACTGTGAACGGTCGGCTGCTACTCCCGTACATCCGACCAAGTTGTCGGCGTTGCCCAAGCGAGGGCGGGGCCAACACTCCATTCCCGTTAACACTCCCCTGCCGCGCTCACGCTTGGGCCTCCAGCCCACACGGCAGTACTCCATGGGGAAAACTCGTCCTCGACGTGCACCCCACACACAACACGCCGTCACCGCACCAGCCGTGCAGAAGGGCACGGCACCTACTGCTGCACCTCGTCGTCGCCGTCGCCGACGTCGGCCAGACGAACTTGGCCGATGGCGACAGAGCACCGGTTGAAAGCCGGAAAATGCAGCGCCTTCGTCAGGAAGTCCGCCGGCTGCTCGGTGGTCGGGATGTACTTCATCTTGAGCTTCCCGCGCCTCACCATGTGCT